GGAGAACACTTACTGAGCAAGATGTGTCTGGGAACCCATGCATGAGTTCGAGGCCGTACCCAGATAAGGTGATGGAAGGAGGTCAAGATGCAAAATCGGCAAAGTCGAGCGCCGCCAGCTTGATATCTGAGGCTTTCTGGTTGAACCCGCCTGACTACTCCCAGTAAGTAAGGGTGCTAACCGTAGACATATATTAAGATACTCACAAGCCGCAACCTGCAAGTCGATTTGAGGTTCGGATAGACTATAGTACACTATTACATTAAGGCGATTTGCAATGCCTTCATGACGCAAGCGTATGCCGGAGTTGAGACATAGACTACATATCAGTATGTCCTCTATTTATGTCTGTTTACATCGAATAAGGCGTTCGACCGGGTCTGCCGTTCGCACCCCTTCAACTAGCTGGTAATCGCTGATACTTGCTCACATACCCGCGCTTGAACCAGAAGGGCCTAAAACGCGGTGATTGATCAACCCAGGGTTGATGTTGCCGACCCAGGCCTAACGGGCCGTAGACAGTCCGTAGACCTCGGCATACGGTGCCGTGACCACGAGAAAGGAAGGAGCCATCATGACAAAGCGAACTGCATGCCAAATACAGACATGACATAAGCCACTCCAGTCACGTGCTGATGATGAGCAGAACATGCCGCCTGTTTAGCGCCCAAGATCCACAGACTGTTTCAAACCCCGCCTAGAAATCTACGGACGTCCGTAGAGCCGTAAATCCTTATGGAAAGTCGTCCAATAGTCGCATTGTTCATGGATTGAGGTGAGCACAGCTCTGCGTGTAGCCGTATACATAAGGTCACTAAGCACTGATAGAGCAGTGATATTGAGTTGCAACCGAGGGCGGTACGCGACTGTGCCGAAGGCTTGGACGCGTCGGAGAAGACGACGGGGCTGTGCTAGACCGCTCGTGCAGGCGCTCGATCGCGGGCAATAGAGGCGCGACGCTCCGGTCGTCGTTTGTAACGCTTTTTTTGTTAGCTCTGAGGTGTCTCTGCCTCCTTTTGCTGAGTTATCACGAATGCATAGCTACAGCACGCAGTGCGGCTCAAGAGGGATGTGGATAGTATTATGCCCGCATTCGCCCAAGCACACCGACATCCGTTTGTCGGGACCGGCATCATGAATTTTAAACACGGGCAGCAACTGCCGCGCGCGCATCGTCATCCATTCCCCGTCGCAGCAAAGTTCTGCATGGCGTCTCTATTCCGTCCAGCGCGCACTATATGAACGCGTCGGTGAACAGCAATGTCCATCGCGCCTTCCCCACTTTCTCTTTCTTTAATATCTTCCTTCGTCCTCCTTAATGACTTCACGGTCCTTCACGGCGCTCGCGGTGGGCGCATTGGCCCTCTTCGCGGGACCTGTCCTTGCAAACCCTTCATCATACAACCTGCACGCGAAACTGCAGAAGCGCTCGAGCGGAGTAACGGCCAACACCAACGGTGTGGCCGCGCAGACCTACGACTACATTGTTGTTGGCGCTGGTCTCACAGGGGTCACTGTGGCGGCACGCCTCGCGGAGAACTCATCAGTTTCAGTTCTCGTTATCGAGGCGGGCGGCGACAACAGGACGAATTCCCAAGTTTACGATATCTACCAGTACAGCGATGCATTCAACGGACCTATGGACTGGGCATGGCCGTCCGACGCCGGAAAAGTGATTCATGGGTGAGTCGCGTCAGTCGTGGCTCCTTTGCACGTCTGAACCGCGATGGGGTAGCGGCAAGACTCTTGGTGGTAGTACCTCCATCAACGGAGGCGCGTGGACTCGCGGACTGAATGCGCAGTACGACGCGATCTCCAGCCTGCTCGAGGACTCTGAGCAGTCCGTCGGATGGAACTGGGAGAGCCTTTTCGATTACATGAAGAAGGTACGTCCGAACCAGTGCGCTTGCCTGGCTCGCCCCAACCTCACACAGAGCGCTGTGAACTCAACGTTGACATTGGACGCGTAGGCCGAGACGTTCTCTGCGCCCAATGCCCAGCAGCAGGCCAAGGGTGCACAGTCCATCGCATCCTACCATGGCACGTCTGGTCCTGTTCAGGTCACATTCCCCGATGAGATGTACGGCGGTCCGCAGATGAAGGCCTTTGTTGACACGATGGTGAATGTTACCGGCATCAAGCATTACAAGGACCTGAACGGCGGTACGCCGAACTGTGTCTCGTATACTCCCTTGGTGCGTTGACCTCTCAGTCTCAATATGTAATACCTGATCAGACTAATATCTTTATATGCAATGCAGAGTTTGGACTGGCACAGAGACGACCACCGCTCATCCTCCATTGAGGCGTACTATACCCCGGTCGAGGATCTACGCGCCGGCTGGACGCTTCTAATTGAACACCAGGTTCGTTGTGCGGTACTCGCTCTTCCCAGCTGCGCAGCTCTTCTAACTAGATTTCCCTATTCTAGGTCACCAAGATTCTCTTCCAGAACAGCACTAGCGCTCCTCACGTCGCCACCGGCGTTGAGTTCGGCAAGGCTGATGGTACTGGAAGCAGACAAGTTGCTCACGCGCGTAAGGAGGTCATCCTGGCTGCCGGTGCTATCAACGTAGGCTAGATACGTTCTACCGGATTCTGTCTTGGAAGCTAATGGACATCTTGCGCCTTCTCAGACCCCGGCTTTGCTGCAGCTCTCCGGCATCGGCGACTCCGGCCTTCTCAGCGCCCTTGGGATCCCCACGATAGTCGACCTCAAGACTGTTGGAAGAAATCTCCAGGAACAGACGATGAACTCGCTCGGCGCGAACGGCAACGGCTTTGATACGGGAGGCCATGGCCCGACCGATGCGATCGCGTACCCTAACATATACCAGCTCTTTGGGTCAAACGCGGGAGCGTCGGTCCAGAAGATCCAGTCGTCGTTGAACGCGTGGGCACAATCGCAGTCTCACAATGCCTTCTCTACCTCTGCACTGGAGACCATCTACAACATCCAGGCCGGGCTCATCATTGATAACAATGGTTAGTGTTGAGCAGACGTGCTGTGACAAGACGCCAACTGACTTAGATCCGTTACCCTTCTAGCTCCAGTCGTTGAGATGTTCTTCGACAGTGGTTACCCTGAGTATGTCATATGATCCAAACCTTTCTGGTGTGGCTTAGGCACGAGCAGTCAATATTCACATTCGCGCCCACAGTGACCTTGGGATCGACATGTGGCAACTTCTGCCTTTCTCCCGCGGCAATGTTACCATCAAGGTTCGTACCTGATTTGTCTCTTCAACTGCTCAATCCGGGAGTGGCTGCCAAGCCCCTTGCTCCGCCAAAGCAAGGAAGCTGACATGTTCGACGTGTGCAGTCCGCCAATCCGTTCCAGAAGCCCGCCGTCAGCGTGAACTATTTCAGCGTCGACTGGGACCTCGACGTCCAGATCGCGGGCGCCCGTCTCTCGCGCAAGATCCTCGCCACCCCGCCCCTCGCCAACCTCCGCTCCGCCAAGGGCGAGACGCACCCAGGACTGAAGACGGTCCCCGACAACGGCGACGGCGGCTCGGACGCAGACTGGAAGAAGTGGATCGTCCAGGACGGCACGGGCGGCGGCTTTTCTGCGGTCTCGCACCCGATCGGCACGGCGGCGATGATGAAGCGCAGCCTCGGCGGGGTCGTCGACGCCCAGCTGAGGGTGTACGACACCGCCAACGTGCGCGTCGTGGACGCGTCGATCCTCCCGTTCCAGATCAGCGCGCACCTCTCGAGCACGCTTTACGGCGTTGCGGAGAAGGCGGCGGACCTCATCAAGGCTGCCCAATGAACGACCGACGCGGCACTCTGACTTCTACGCTCGATATGTCTGCTTACGCCTGGGAGGGTTATCCCGCACTTGCGCTGCTACCTTTGATGCGGAAATAGCTGACTTATGATTTTGAGCACCTCCCATTGGACTACCTTGCGGCTTCTAACTTATTGACACTGTGAACTCGGACTATTTACGCCCTGTCTCACCATTCGTTGATGCTGATCGCTCGATCGCTGAACTATTATATCGACATGTGCTGTAATAGTAGATTGTCGAAGGTATGTACCTTATACTATATAGTACAAGCAGTCTCTGGCTCTACGCAGATGACAAGCCGTAGTGTGCAAATACGTTGACGTCCGCCCGGCCGAAGGTGAGACATACGGAACGCCGCGCACTGAGCCTCCCGTTCTCTCCAAAGGCGGCACGGGTTGATGGCTTCATCAAGCTAGCTCGTTCTTGCTGACGGTCACGGCTGGAAACGTACCGTCTCCGTAGCTCCTATACTTCATCAGGTTCTGAAATGGGCTGGCTATTAGAAGAAGGCAAGGATGTTGGGCTCGAGCGAGGCTCTGTGCTTCCTACCCTGAGTCACTTGAACAATATGTCTAATTGTTACCAGGTCATGAGCCGGTCTGTAAGCGGTAATATGTGGGCGTTGCCTGCGGTGTGAGCGATGGGCAGCATTTAGAGAGGGACTGCACAGACAACAGGCGAAACATGCGTAGGCAGCATATTTGGACAGTCAGGCAAATGGCAGACGAGAGGCTCGCCTCAAGCGAACCATTTCCGAGTGTGTAGGTACCCCGACCATGCTGTCCGACATGCTGCACTTGGTGTCTGGCATGTCCTGACTCGACCGAGGGTTTGAGGGCGACGAGTATCACCGCTGAGTACGGTATGTGACAGCCTAATGAATGCCATATACGACAAATCTGCACTATTGGCAGGTACGATCCACGCCTCGCGACACTAGTACTGCCTTCCCAAGGCAAGGAAAGTATAGCAGTGGGCTGTGATAGTTCACGAAGTGGAGGTTTCCCCGTACGGGCCACACATCGGTTGCGGTATCTGAGCAGGAGCCGAGGAAGAGAGAATCGCCCGAGAACGCCAGTACCTTGCCATTCCAGGCTCCACAGACTAACACTCCCGATCGTCACGTCGTGAAGGTGCGTGTGAGTCGCGGGTGTGTTCCGGAATTGCGCGAGGAAGACGATGCATATAAAACACGGAGATAGGATGGGCAGTGCGACTCGTCCTCTTCCACCTCCTCTCATGCCCACCCGTCGGTTTCTCTTGACACCCAGACCTGATGCGCGGTATGCTCCTTTATGCGCCAAAATATCTTCGCAGAGTGAGCAATCCCAGCATGCGTGCAGGTGAGTCTCTTCGTCGATGCTGCAGAACGAAAAGGTGAGTATATGCGTAATGTATACCTCTGAAAACTAAGTTATGCGAACGACAGGAGTCCGCTCCTCGTGAGCGATCCTAGGATGAAGACGTCGGTAATCGTCTCAGGCCTCAGGCCTCAGATACGCACCACCTCGACATGGTGTCATGTTGCGTGGGGGCACAGGACAAGGTGAGTGTATGCGCCAGCCGACAAGCACTCCGTGAAGACCGGCACGCCGTGACTTGCAGCCACAATCGCGTTGCTTGTCAATGCTTGTACAGGCGCCAATTATGACGTCAGCGAACAAGGTCGGTGCTGGTCTCCGTTGCCCGTCACTTGATTTGCTTGTTTGCGCTTCGCTCCGTCTTGGCTTGCACTCACACTGCACTACGCTCGGGCAACTTGGAATATCGGAGTCCGCTACACCGCTTTGAAGGTCAAGGGACTGTCCTATACCCCTGTGTCTCCTTCAGGCCGCTCGTGATCCGCACTACGGCAGAGACACATGCTCAGTCTGTGGTGTCGAATCTATGCCTGTTGTTGCTACGAGCTGACCCTCCCGATCTCTGTGGCGATATTCATTCTCAGTCTATCCGGTCTCCTTCTTTGTCCGACATCCGGCTAGCACCTATCCCCGGCTGGCTTGCGACTCACAGAGTTCAACGAACGCGGTGCTAAAGTTACTTCTCTGCTTCCCAAGCGGCGATTAGGGGAAACGCTCTGATGTCCACTTGAGGCTTTCTTAGGACATGCTTGCACGTCTCGCAGCTCGTCAGCGGCTTTCGTTCCTTCGTTGTTCTCACCTAGTTGGTGCCAGCAACTAGGAACCGACTCATTAGGTAAGGTCAGACTTACTTTTTCGATCGCGACACATGTGATGAACAGACGGACGGCGTAGGAACCGCGCATGGGAAGAGAGGCGTCATTTGACCACCTTGGACGGAACGGGACTCGGCTTCGGGACTCCCTACTTGCGTTCTCTGGGACGTCTACTCTCCCACTGCATATAAGGTCTCGAAAGAGGGGCCGAATCTCCTCGTTTATCCTCCTTTCACCATGGCCGCTGAGAACCCCTCTGTGATCTTGCCTACTCTCGAACGCCTCGGCGTGCAGACCGTGCCAGCCGATGTCGACGCGAGGAAAATTGCGCAGCTCTGGCTTGACTCGTTCGCGAAGTCTGCTGAATCTGGTGATATCGATGGCATCTTGTCGCTCTTCTCGTCCGACGCTTGGTGGCGCGACATGCTCGCCTTGACCTGGGCATTCCGCACTTTCCACACCGCGCCCAATATCCGCAAGTTCCTCGAGGACAGGCTCTCCTTGAACGCTCCTACCAACTTCAAGCTCACCAACGTCAAGTTTGAGAACCCGTACCCCGATCTTGCCTGGATCCTCGGCCAGTTCACCTTCCAGACGAAGGTGGGTCAGTGCAGCGGAATCTTCCGCCTGATCCCGACCGCCAAAGGCGGTTGGATCGGGTTCACGTTCTACACGAACCTCGAGGACCTCAAGGATTTCCCGGAGAAGATCGGCGCTCTCAGGAACCATCTTCCCAACCACGGCAAGTGGCTCGCGCAGCGTGAGCGCGAGCGCGAGTTCGTTGATGGCGATCCTACGGTTCTCATTGTCGGCGGCGGGCAGAGCGGACTCGATGTCGCAGCGCGCTTGAAAATGTTGGACATCCCGACCCTGGTCGTAGAGAAGCACAAGCGGATCGGTGATCAGTGGAGATACCGGTACCAGGCTCTGTGTTTGCATGATCCTGTTTGTGAGTACGCGCGTTGGTTCGTATGCCATGGCGCTTATCGGACGTCTCTTCGTGTCTTTTAGGGTACGACCACCTCCCGTACATCCCGTGAGTGACCCTTGTACCTTCCGCATGCGTTGCATTTCTCCGTTGTTGACCCCTCGAGGCAGCTTCCCTGCTTCATGGCCAGTCTACACTCCTGCGCACAAGCTCGCGAACTGGCTGGAAGCTTATGCAGACGCCCTCGAGCTGAACGTGTGGACATCCTCAGTCGTGACCAAGGCCACGCAGGACGCCAATAATGAGTGGGACGTCACTGTCCAGCGCGCTGACGGCTCGACGCGCGTGCTACACGTCCACCACGTCGTATCCGCGATTGGCCTCGGCGGGAACAACCCGTTTTTCCCCGATATCGAGGGGCGGGAGGAGTACCAGGGTCAGGTGCTGCACTCAACGCAGCACAACTCGGCTCGGGATCATCTGGGGAAGAAGGTCTTGATTGTTGGGGCTGCTACATCTGGTGCGTATCTTGCTTATCACAAACTAGTACGAGGGACTGAGAGGTTTGGACAGCGCATGATCTTGCGGCGGATTACGCGGAGCACGGTGTAGGCGAGTCGCAAGCCACGTGTTGTTCTCACCGCCGTTCTTTCCTTGCTGACGCTTTGCGCGCGGGGTAGATGTCACGATGTACCAGCGCGATAGCACCTACATTATGACCACTCAGCACGGTATGCCGGAAATGCTCGGTCGTACGTATCCGTCCTGCGGTTCCTTCCCCTCTCTTTCTAACGCGTCGGGCCGTTCGTGCTTTTGTAGACCTCTGGTGGGAAGGCAAGTGGCCGGCGGACGTCGCGGACCGTATTGACGCATCGATGCCGACCTGGATCACCGAGGAGATCTCGAAGCGGCACACCGCTGCCACCGCAGAGGCCGATAAGTAGGTTCCTCCCTCAGTGCGTGATGTCAGACTTGCGGTACTCACCGATTGTCATGCAGGGAGCTCCTCGACAACTTGCACAAGGTCGGCTTCCGCACGCATCTGGGCCCTAACGGCTCTGGCTTCTTGGCCATGACCAGGAGACGTGGGGGCGGGTACTACCTCGGTCCGTAGCGATCCCGACTTGTGTTAACGTACATTCCTGCCTGGCATGAGTACTGACGCCCAGGGTTGGCATCAGACGTGGGCGCGTCCCAGATGGTGATCGACGGCAAGATAAAGCTGAAGAACGACAGCCGCATCAAGAAGTTCACCAAGACCGGGTTCGAGTTCGAGGATGGGAGCAAGGTCGACGCAGACGTCGTGATGTTCGCTACTGGGTATGTTCCTCCTGCGCTGCTCTCTTTCTTGTACTGTCATCTCCACTGCGCGTCTGCCCTTCTCTTGTTTACCTCATCATGCTCCGCTCTTCCCACCCTCGCCCCGTCACCTCCTATCATTGCTACTCCCTTGCATCTTGCTGTACTCACCGACGCTATGTCATCGCGCAGCTTCGACTCGCCGATCGTGACGATCAAGAATATCTTCGGGGAGGACACCGCGTCTCGCGTGAAGCCGATTTGGGGCCTTGACGAGGAGGGCGAGCTCAAGAACGTCTGGCGGGACTCGGGCGTGCCCAACTTCTGGTTCATGATGGGCAACCTGATGTGGTGCCGGTTCCACTCGAAGCACGTCGCGCTGCGTGAGTGTCCATTCAATCCTCGATCTCTCATAACAGCATGCTGATTGCTATCGCTTGGCGCGATTGTAGAGATCAAGGCCATCGAGGAGGGTATACTTCCCGGCAGCGGCAGCGAGTTCCGCTACCAATGATGCTCCGGGCGCAAAGAGCCACGGTGGGGCCGCTTTAGAGACGATGAATAGAGTCGCCCGTGAAGGAGCTTTACGCGAACAGTACAATAGTTCAGTCAAGGGGAACGTAAGAAACAGATCAAAGATAGAAGTTCAGGTATATTGCCGTATTGTACAATTACAGTCGATTTAAATCATATGCGCTAGGGGCGACTTCGTCTAGTCGGATGCTTGACCCTCCGTCGTGAAACAGTGATGAGCGTCGAAGCCAACTGCGAGCAGTTCATTCTCTGATCTATTTGGCTTACTCGCGCTTTGCTGTTGCAGATAGGCATATGTGCGGTGAAAATTATACAAGTGGATCGGGTACGAGAGTAGAAGCCGTGGGCTGGGACATTGGCCGATAACTCCTGGGAACATAGCATGACCTTCTTGTGGCCTTGCCAGCATCCTGGAGACCACCAAGTACGTCCCCTGGCTAGGCCAATCCCGAGGCCAACAGGTTACAGAGATACGTCTTGGCAGGGCTGAGCGGCACTGTACTATGACGACCCAGGAACTTGAAGGACGACTCCGGGATCGGGACTTCGCTCGAGCTGGGAGCAACGCCACGTCTGTGCAGCTGTATGCGACGCCGACGCCGACGACAAGATACTGAGACGGTCGGTGCTTGACAATGTCGGTGCTATTGGATGTGAGTCCATATTGTCCCCGTTCATCGTCCTTGGCAGTAGCCTGCATAACAGTTGCAACTGTCCGTTTCCGAGTCCGCATCCAAAGGTTTGATGACCTCCGCGATGTCGTAGCTGATCGAACCAGTAAAAGCTTGCATGTCCATCCGCCAAGCATGACAAACATTGTCTCCTCGAACACCTCGCATGCCATCCATCTAATCTTGGTGGATGGCTTCGCGCGCGGGCATCGTGTGTTTTGAGCGCTGAGCGCTAAGCATTCGCCTCCAGTGCGTGGCGGCGATGGCGCAGGGCTAACAGTATGACCAGTATCCGCCCGCATCCTGTCGCGCGGTGCAGTGAGGATTAGAAGAAGCCGAGGTGGGAGATTAAACTGACCCATCGCGAGTAGGAGAACACTGGGCCAAGTACTAAGCACTGAAACTATGTAGTAGGCCGATTCTAACTGCGCGAACAGTTACGTTTGCACTCCGTTCTTGGGCCCTCGTGGGACCTTTGCGTGCAGAAGTGGATTCACTGACAGTTGATGTTTTCCACAACAAGTAGAGGATACAGCAATCTCTAGACCCGAGGTCTTGGCCCTTGGGAGAAGTCGTTCTGCAGGATCTTTCTCAGATAGACGCCCTCGCGAGGATCATCATGGACGTTGACGACCGGCGGCATTTTCTGTCATGCCTCGACTCTCTTGCGCACTGCCAACGCGAGCTCATGTTTCAAATTCCTGTATCCTCCTCTAAGTTGTTCCACGTCCGGATTATGGCCGGCCGCTATGGTGCCTGTTGCTCATCGCAGTGGAAGAGGTGATGAACAGCTGGCCAACGCTCTGGTTTACAACATGGTGTGACCACACTGATAGCGCAGAACTGTTCGTTCCCTGGTCTGTGGCGTCGCGACAAATCGATTCAAACCTAGACTACAGCGAGCAGAGCGCCTATGACATGTGTCCGTAGGTACATCTTTGATGGAGGGTTGCAAGCGATACCGCTTTATGGCAGCTCACCATGTTACTTGCAGCTCGCGAATCTCCCTTATGACTTTATGCCCTCGCGCTCTAGTGTGCCAAGAACGTCGCGACAGCCTTGATGTCTCAGGCACATCCTAATTGCAACGATGGCTGATCAGCACCGGACTCCCCGCCTGGAGATTGCAGCTGGACGACCGGACTCTCCCACCGTTGGCATCATACGGCTTGCCGATGCCCGCCCCTACCGCCGCGCCCATGAGCGCAGCGTATATAACTACCAACGCTCCGAAGATGAATTCCTTACGGGTCCTGGTGATTCCCCACTTCGTTCTTCGCTCGCCCTCTCCCTCCTTTTAGGCATCTAAGCCGCCCTTCTCCTCACGATCTTTTGGTTGTATTTATCACGAGTCTTCACGCCATGGTCTTCAGTCCTCTCCTTGTGGCCGCGCTTCTTCCCATTGCCGCGCAGGCGGCGAACGACTGGAGCCAGCCTTGCTTCGGCCAGTGCAACTGGGATATCAACTCGGGTAGTGGTTCTGGCACGGTCCAAATCGTGAGTGTACTCTGTCCTTTCATATATGGGAGAGGGACGCTCACCTGAGCGTGTCATGACACCCTCGCGCGTGACGAACGTAGACTGGCACGCAATCTGGTGTTTCCGATTTGACCACGGCGGCAGGATGGAGTATTCTTGACTGCGACGCAAACACCGCGGACCAGGATATTCGCTTGGTCTGCCAGAACCCTGACGCGGGCTGCGATCACGTCCACACAGACGGCGCTGCGGGTACCCTCGTTCGTCTCCCGACCTCGGTATGTGTGCATGCGCTCTTCCACTTAATTGTGTTGCTGAGATTTGGAGGATGTGAATACAGTGCGGTTCCGTGCCATTCGCCCTTGTGACACGCATGTGGACCCATCAGGACCAGAGCATCCCCGCCAACAAGCGGGCGCTGCTGACGCGCCGCGACGGTACCACGCCGACTGTCAAGGGTATCAGTCTGTCGACTAACTTTTCGCAGGCCGATCCTTCGCAGTGAGTATTCCCCTGTCAGTCAACCTTCGAAGTCGAGTAACTGAACACACGACCACCCAGGAAGGGCAACGTTACCCTGCACCTTCAGGGATCCTCGATTCCCGGCGTCGCTACCAATTTTACGCAGCCACCTCCTGTTGACCAGCTGAACAAGCGCGGTCTGTTGTCCTGGGTCGGCAACACCCTTAAGAACATCGGTGAAATCCACAAGAACATCAGCGGCAGTAGCCCGATCAACTTTTCGAAGGATACCCCGCTCTTCGACCAGAGCATCAACTGCCCCCAGAGCGGCGCCATCCCTGCTTTCTCTGGTGAGGTCAAGGTCGACCTGAATGGCAAGGTCGACGGTACCGTAAACTACGGCGTCGCAGCCAGTGGCTCTGTTATCCCTCCCAAGCTGGACCAGTTTGGTCTCTTTGTTGGTCTTGATACGACTGTCACTGGCACGCTCAACCTCGATGCGACCCTCACGGGTACGGTTGGTACCGGTCAGATCCCTCTATTCCAGACGGGCATACCAGGACTGGATTTCCCAGGGATCCTAAGCATCGGTCCGACTTTCTCTGTCAATGCGGAAGCAGACGCGTCCCTCGATGCGAACCTCAACATGGACGTTGACCTCGACTACACCATCTCCGGTGCCCAGCTATTCTTCCCTCCCAGCAGTGGTCCCTCTGGCGCGTTCACTCCCGGTGACTCTAAGCTCCAACTCTCCGTCTCTCCGGACGTCACTGCGAACGGCCAGGTCACTGCTCACCTCATCCCAACACTCGCGTTCGGCATCAACGCCCTCGATGGCAAGGCCAAGGCGACCATCAACCTCGACGTCGACGCACAAGCCGGCCTCGACCTTTCGCTCACCGCCTCGGGCAAAGCCTCCACCGCGACTGACGGCAGCAAATCTGCCGACAAGTCCTTCGGTGGCTGCGTCGATGTCACGTCCGGCCTCACGGTGTCCGCTGGCGCTGATGCCGACTTCTTGAGCATCTTCGACAAGAGCACGAGCGTGGACTTGTTCAAGAAGACGTTCGATCTCTTCAAGAAGTGCTTCGGTGACAGCGCTGCGCGCCGGACATACACTGGCCGGAAGGCGCGCGCCGAGCTGCTCTCCAAGAGGGCGTCCATTGCTTGCCCGAGCAGCGCTCTCGCGTCTGCTATTTCGGTTGCGGATGAGACCGTCACTGGTTCGAGGTGAGCTTCCTCCTTTGCTTTCTCAGCTACGGCTACTGAGATGAGACTACGGCTTTCTAGCTTGCAATAAGCGACCATGTCAATTTTTATTCGTTCTCGAAGACTCTGGGATTTGGGCCTTTATCTTAGTATTCGTCCTAAAAGTATTGTTATCGGCTGAGGGCAGCTCTTTTTTTGGTGTATTACCAGTTTTTGGTCAAGCGTTTGCCAATGATCATACCCCCCGCACCTTCGTTCTTGCAACTTGAGCCCGCCTTGTCCGAATTCAGGCCTTCGTCCGCTTTCCTTGACTTCCGATGCTCCCTCAATCTTGGTTCAGCTTATCGGCAGTACCTACAGTACTCACGCTCAGGTCTTGACTATACATGCGAAGCAAACACGAGCCAACTAGTTCGTGTGTACCGGTCGCTCAGAAAGGCAAGTCTTTCCGTTCCATTGACTCTTATCGCTGTCACAGGGGGCCTCTCAGCACCGTCTGCTCTGCGACGTCGTCTTGTGTACAGCAACACAACGGTATCTCTAGTCTCCGATATGGACCGCTTAGGCATGGAAGTCGCGTATGCGAACGCGAAGAAGAGTTATGATGAGGGTGGCGTACCCATCGGCGCCGCTCTGGTCTATCATGGCGGCGACGGCGAGCCGCGGGTCGTTGGGGAGGGTCATAACGCGCGCGTCCAGAAAAACTCGCCAATCCTCCATGGAGAGACTGCAGCCTTGGAAAATGCAGGGCGATTGAAGCCTGATGTCTACCGCAACTCGACCATGGTGCGTCTTCATGCCTACAGACCGATGAGGTCCCGAGTCTGATGCTTTGATTAGTACACCACCCTTAGGTACGTTGCGAGGTTGCTGCGCAGACCCACGGGTGCCACCGTAATGACTCTATGCCTCTACAGCCCTTGTAGCATGTGTGCGGGGGCGATCCTTCTATACAAGATCCCGCGCGTCGTGATCGGTGAGAACGTCAACTTCGTAGGGGAAGAAGAGTTGCTACGGAGTCGAGGCGTGGAGGTCGTGGTCCTGAACGACGAAGAATGCAAGGCGCTGATGGCACAGTATATCCGCGAAAAACCGGAGGTATCACACTGCGAGACCGTCACTGCACGACCTGCAATCTGACAGATGTTTGTTTAGGATTGGTACGAAGACATCGGCGAGAAGATCCGTAAGGACTAGTGTAGGTACTCAGTAGTTTGGATGCATCCGTCGGGTGGTGGAGGCTCCACCACTCGACGGATGCATCCAAACCACGGGCGACGGAAACATCCTCAGTAGGATTCATCCCAGGACTCTGGATGCTTCCTCGCCCCATCCATACGGTGTGCGCTGATCATACGGCGTGTCATCGCAGCAACGGGTTACAGGCAGAGTTTAATGCACGTCATATATCTGGGTCATTATATCATTGGTGGCGGGGACAATTATGGCATCAATTTAGCAAGCTGTTCAAAGGAGTCTACCACGACATCAACTTCGCCACCATCAGCTTTAGTCTTGACGATATCCCTGACGTCGCCATCTTCCGTCGGACGGCGGACGTAAACTGTCTTCATACCATGTCTAGCTGCAGCACGAAGGTCATATATGTGGGCTGCGACCATCGCGCACTTCTCTGGTGTGATATCGAGATGATGTATAGCTCCTAAATAGGTCTTGGGGTTCCTATAGAGGCAGATGCGCATCCAGCATGAAGGTGTCGTCAGCACGAAGAGCCAAACAGGGAAGCATCATACACTTACGGCTTATACGACCCAAGCAACTCTCCGGAAAACACCACATCCCAAGGAAGGTTAGCATATTTTGCCTACAAGAAAGCGTCATCCACGAGCAAGGGCATACGGCAGTTATGGAGTGTTCTCTTACCATGTCCACAAGGAGACGTACATTTCCATTGGATAGGGTCCCGATGATGGCTTTCTTCTTCATCGCATATAGCCCACTGCTGCTATCCGGCCACCCTGAGAGCAACCGGATCGTCCCTCGCTACTTCAGAGAGGACACTTGCACATACCGTCTAGTTTATGCCACATTTGGACCATCTCTTGCCTTTGGGCGTCATCCCATACAAACGCGAGATGACTCCAGCGAGGAGACTCGAGCAAACCGTCAAGAATCTAAGAAGACCGTCTTTTGGTTATTCAGGCCGATGGGTGTCCGCGGGAGCCTACTACCTCTCTGTGCATGACGTCGGCGTTATTGGACCCTTGCCCTCCGTTGGCTACCCGACGGCTGCATGAATATCGTGTAAACTGGTACTCTACAGCGAGTCGATCCAAACGCACGTGTATTCACCGTACCCCTTCCTCCACTCTTTCGTGAAACCGCTCCAGTCTGTACGTGGATGCGTTTTCAGCAGGTACTGCGACGAAGATCGGCAAAAACGGACCTTCATTCTTCAAAGATTCTGGCGCAGAAGCTTCCAAAGCTCGGGTCACGCTACCGAGCCAATCTACAACAGTACCGAAGACGTCAAACACGTAGGCCTCGACGCCGTCAAGAGGGTTGACTTCTTTCGACATCCCGCTGAGTGATATCGATGTACCCTCAAGGTCCGAAAGACAAGACGGTACAGTGGGAAGCGGCCGGCCGTGCCTCCGCCTGTCATTGCGCCATATTTACCCCTGTTGTCTCCCGTGACTTTCCGAGCCCAAGACCTGAGCTACCTTCAGCATAGCGACAACTCTATCGTCGATACAAGAATACAAAAACAGCAACTCATGCGGCAGCGACCGTTACAGTGGTCTTTTCACCCTTACCCGACGCGCCGATCTCGGCGGCACTGATCTCCAGCGCGCCGTTCTCGTCGACGATTGTCGTTACTTCTAACCGCGTAGTCCAGCGCGCACCCTTCTTTTTCGTCGCCTGTTTCGCGACAAACGAGAGGGACGCAAGGAGGTTTTCCTTCTCTACCGTCTTCTCCTTGACCTCCTCTTCCTCTTCCTCCTCTTCCTCCTCGCCCTCTACCGGCTCCTCGTCTTCGAGCTTGGGGAGCTTCACCTTCTCGATCTTTACGCCCTCGTGTGCCTCCCACACCTCGAACCCGACCCTCTTCTCACCCTCACCCTCGCCCAGGTCGACGTCAAACGCGATGATACGGCGCGCGGGCACAGGGGTCTCCTTGATGACAGCGGGGATCCACTGGCCGCCCAGAGCGCTTTCCGCGTTCTCCTCGGGGAAGAGGAAGCCAACGGTCTTGGACGTGACCTTCGCTTGCGTGTACTGGTGGCCATGCGTGAAGGACGCCTTGACCTCGCGCTCCTCCTCGGTGCCCTCCGCGAGCTGCGCAAGGATCCTTGCTTGGAGCGCGCAACCGCGCGAGAGGATGGTCGTCGGGTCACCTGTGCCACCGCCAACGACAGTGCCCTGCGTGAACGGGGTGACAATGGTTTCTGGGAAGCCCTGCGAGAGCGTCTCGTCAAGCCCCGGAAGGCTCGCAGAGCCCCCGACGTACACGATCTCGTCGACGTCGTAGAGGTCCAGCCCGGCGGCAGAGACGAGCTCCTTCACCTTCTCGTACACGCGGTCGTAGATGGCGCGCACCTCCATGTCAAACCGGAGACGTGTGATCGTGCCAGTGAAATCGATGCCATCCTTGAGCGATTCCACGGAACACGTCGCAGCGCCAGGGGACGCGGAGATGGTGCGCTTCGTATGCTCGAGCGCGAGGCGGAGCTTCGCCTCCGCGCGCTTGTCCTGGGTGTCCGTCGCTGGGCAAACCGTGAGCGGCACTTTCGTTTTCTTAGTGAACTCTTTCGCGAAGTGCTTGATGAGCTTGTCGTCTAGTGCGTCGCCGCCAACGGAGTGATCGGAGAGCGTCGCGAGCGAGTGCACGAGGCCATGGCGGATCGAGAGTAGCGAGAGGGAGAGCGCGGACGCACCGAGGTCGACGAGGAGCTGCGTGCGGTCCGCACTGAGGCCTTCGGGTTGGGGCCCACTGGTCGTCGTGACCGCTGCAGCGCCCGCTTCCTCGAGTAGCTGCAGGACGGTGATGCCTGCGTCGCTGGCGGCCTTCTCGAGCGCATCCTTTTGCACTGGCTCAAACCAACTGGGGACGGAGATGACCGCGCCCTGAACCTTCTTGCCAAGGAAGTCCTCTGCAGACTTGATGAGCGACTGGAGGAAGATGGTTGTCACTTCGGACACCGTGAGGACGCGCTCGACCTGCACGGGCTCGGATCGGGGGGTCACGGCGGCCGAGGCGGCGGGTGTGTTCGTTGCAGTCCTAGGGAGGGGAGAGGGAGAAGCCTGGAGAACCTTGACCTTGTAGGCGGGCTCATCGGCGACCTCGGGGTGCTGAATCACGGGGGCAGATACGGAGAGGGTGTTGGCAGGGATCTCGGAAAACCTAGGACGGTTATTAGGGTGTGCGCAATTCGTGTGAGTTGGTATGACTAGACGCACTTCTTTCCAAGGAGATTGCGGAAGCCGGTAATGGTGTTTTGGGAGTTCTTCACAAGCTGGTGCTTGGCTTGGTTCCCGATGTACTGGACAACTTGGCGTTAGCTCTAGGACGGACAGTAACTCAATGAAAGCTCACTAGTTCCTCGCCGTGGAACGAGATAGCACATGCTATCTGACGCTCCCCATCCTCGTTCGCGATGCAGTCCGCAGAACCCTCCTATGTGACCTTTCAGTTGCAGTTGTGAGTGTGGAGGTTTTTCGACGAACCTTCGTGAGGACAGCGATCGAAGCGTAAGAGTTGCCAAAGTTGATTCCAACGACAGTTGGGAGGGAGGAGACCTCTATGGGTGCCTCTGCAGTTCCGTTTGGCTGGGCCATCTCTCTAGGCAAGGGTTGATGGGGAAGAGGTTTGCGAGAGGATGTACGAGGAGCGGCGAGCGGCACAACTTGCACGCAACTAAAAATTAGGACGCGTGATTAGATAGACGCTCGTTATATTCAGGTATAATGGCGCTTCTATCAGGTGTTCAGGACGTCCACCATCTCCGTTGTAATATCTGCGACGGAAAACATCTCTTTTCGTTTCCTGGCGACGTAAAAGCAATCATCCAATAAGTAGTGAACTCAGGTATGATCTTTGGCATCGATAAAGGGGGACGGGGATGGCAGGTGGGGCGCAGCACTGAACCCCTACCATCTACCAGAAAGCCATCTCCGCCAAAATGTCCTGCGGTCACATCGGAGACATCGCTCGCTTGCAACCACCTAAACTATCCCAGTCGGTGCATCGTGAGGAGTGTACTCAATGCTTTGACAACCAAGTGCGGAACTAAAATCCTGTGACACGCGTGGTACGCCACTCACCGCCCCGTGCAGGACAGTCCTCTCGGAGTTGATGTTTGCTTGACTTGCTTCAATGGAGCGTGCCTGGACAAGGAAAGGCACCACGCGCGATCTCACGTTGCGAAGACGGGGCATTCATTCACTTTGAATGTCAAGCGCAAGTTGAAGCCATCGGCTAATAGGGTACGTGTCCCTTGCATGTTCCGCCTCCCACATGTAGGTTGAGTAGCGCGACTTGACATCAGGCTGAAGACGAGGAGCCCCCTGCCAAAATGAAGAAATTGGCTATCGTTGAAGAGCGTGAGGAGGACAAGTACGAACACAAGACGGTACTGAAATGCTGGAAATGCGACGCCCAGAACGGCCTTGAGCTCCCGGACGCTTCAGCAGACCCGCATGTGCAGTCTCTCGTTACGGGAGTCATGCAATCACTGTCATCCGCTCGCCAGTCCGAGGTTAAAGCTTGGGAGGAGGAGATCGCAGCTTGCGAACACACCCTGATGCTGGAGCAGCTCGCTACGGGCCCTATTGCTGCTTCTGGTACGTTCCATTCCTGCAGACGACGAAGTGTGTTTGATGACATGTACCTGCGTGTAGGTCTCGCACATTGCCAGAAGTGCGACCTGAAGGAGAACCTCTGGCTATGCCTCACTTGCGGTTCGCTCGGCTGCGGTCGTCAGCAATACGGTGGTTTCGGTGGCAACGGGCACGGTCTTCAGCACTATGAGGAGACGAAGCATCCAGTGTGCGTCAAGCTCGGGACCATCACTCCAGAGGGTACCGCCGGTACGTTCCGTGCGAGCCTGAGCGTCGTACGCTACGACTAATCCTCCAAGTAGACATCTACTGTTACGTTTGCAACGACTCCAAGCTGGATCCTGATCTTGCGAGACACTTAGCCAACTTCGGTATCAATGTCCAAACCCAAACGAAGACCGAGAAGTCTATGACGGAGCTGGTGGGTGTCACAACGCATACTGTATCCTAGAGTGCTAACCTCTCTCGTACATAGCAAATCGAACAGAACCTCAAGTTTGACTTTTCCCTGACAGGAGAAGATGGCAAGGCGTTGGAGCCCGTGTTCGGCCCAGGATTAACCGGCCTCTCAAACCTCGGCAATAGCTGCTATATGGCATCCGTGGTGCAAACGCTCTTTTCCCTCGCGCCTTTCCGCGAGCGCTACCTCCCCACCGCAGCAACGCACTGGGAAGTCTGCCAAGAGTCCCTTCCCGCGAACTGCATCGATTGCCAGATGCACAAGCTCGCCGATGGCCTCCTCTCCGGGCGCTATTCCCACCCCCGCCCGCACGCCGCATCCTCCCCCTCCGCGCCGAAAGAGACGAACCCGCTCGTGCCCGTGTTCCAGGAGGGCGTGAGACCTTCGGGGTTCAAGGCGCTCGTGGGGAAGGGCCACGAGGAGTTCGCGACAATGCGGCAGCAAGACGCGGAGGAGTTCCTAACGCACCTCATCACCGTGCTCCGGCGGCACGCGAAGCGGCTTGGGCTAGACCCCACCAAAGAGCCGACGGGGGTGTTCGCATTCGGGATGGAGCAGCGGCTAGAGTGCGGGGAGTGTAGGCGGGTGAGGTATCGCGTGGACGCGACGGATGCGGTAAGTGTACCTGTACCGGCGAGGGAGAAAGGAAAGGATGCGGAGGGGAAGACGGTGTATGAGGAGGTGCCGTTGAAGGAATGCTTGGACATCTTGACGGGCACGGAGGCGTTGGAGTATCAGTGTCCGTCCTGCCAGAAGAAGGTCATTGCCACGAAGTGAGTACATTGTCCACTGCGTTCGTAGTAGGATCGAGCTAATGGTGTGTGCTAGGTCGACCAGACTGGCGACGTTCCCGCAGGTACTTGTCGTTCATGCGAAAAAGTTCCAGCTCGTGAACTGGGTCCCTGCGAAGCTCGGTACGTCTCGTTTACGCCACAGCTCTCCACGACTGTATCAAATTGTATTTTCCTAGACATCCCTGTCATTCTGCCAGAGAACGACGTCCTCCAGCTCGATGAGTACCTCGGCCGGGGACTCCAGCCAGGCGAGACCGAGCTCCCGAATGACGAAGCCGGTACGTCCCTTTGCTTAATTTCCCTAGCTCATGTCACGTCACTCAATGCTGACCGAACGTTTCCAACGCGCTAGTTGCAGCGCCAGGGCTCCCGCAATTCAATGAAGCAGCGATGGCTCAGCTTGAGGGAATGGGCTTTCCCACCATCCGCTGCCAAAAGGCACTCCTTGCGACGGGCAATGCGGACGCCGAGGCGGCGATGGAGTGGCTGTTTGCGCACATGGACGACCCAGACATCGACGCGCCCATTCAGCCCCAGGCTGCTGGTGGAAGTGGGAGCCCGGAGCCGTCGGCGGAGCAGGTGGGGATGTTGGCGGATATGGGTTTCACGGAGAAGCAGGCGAGGAAGGCGTTGCGCGAGACGGTGAGTCTTCCATGGTCTTGTCTGGATATCTGGTTCCGCACCGGAATGGTTAGCTCAGCCGCCGATATGTGCGGCTTACGGGACCCGTATCCCCAGGGGCATCGTCGCTCTCGACTCGTCATCACCTCGTCATCTTATGTGCCTCATTGCGGATGCCGATCTGAGCCTCTTGTTCTCTCCTTCAGAGCGGCAGTGCAGAGCGCGCGGTAGAATGGCTCTTCTCGCATCCCGATGATACCGGCGAGGACGCGCCCTCTATCTCCGCGGTCCCGAGCGGCCAACAGCAAAGCACGGAGGTTGGCGGCTCTTCGAAGCTGCCGGCGCGGTACCGACTCAAGGCGTTTATATCTCACAAAGGGCCATCTGTGCACTCGGGACATTACGTTGCGCACGTCCATACAGCGACGGAGGGCTGGGTGTTGTTCAACGATGAGAAGGTCGTCAAGGCCGACGCGGAGAGCGTGCGCGAGCTAAAGAAGCTCGCGTACCTCTACGTGTTCGAGAGGGTGTAGGGTTGCGGTGTCGAAGCTCGGGCCTCGAGCTCAACAAGCGATCTCGACCTCAACTTTCCACCGAGATGTGATCAGAGGCGAGTGTAGGTGGCACGGTGATTACGATATCTGGCCACAAGGTTTTGCAAGCTGTGGCCTCGAGACTTGGGCAGAGGGTGGGACGATGGGACGATGGTGCTAAATTGTTGCACGCGTAGGCAGCACGAGTGCAGCGCGGACCTGGCATAAGACGTTTGTAATTTAGCTAAAATCAAGTTGCCCTCCTTGGCGTCAAGCATCGTGTAGATAGCCTGATATCGATCTTTGTCCGTGACTCGGCATGCGGATATGTTCTGTGAGGAAAAGAGCAAGATTGTGGTCTGGAAAGAAACTGAAGCAGGTGCTGCCTGGGGAGATTGAAACTCCGACGCAGCAGCTTTTTGCGTGCGCTTGAGAGATTGCGGCCTTTGTCTGCTCTACGCCATCTCTGTCTCCTTTCCGTTGCAATCGTCTCTCTCGCAGCCCATAAGAGACAGCGTCCAGCTAACTCGCACAACGACCATGTCCTACAACATCCCGATCAACCAGGTCGACCCGACCGCACCCACTCCGCAGAACACCCCCTTGCAGCATGCGCCGATCGCCCAGGGTCTCTCGCGCCCAACGGTCCCCGACATCACGGAGGACAATGAAGGAGAGGAAGAGGAGTCCACCGGCGCAATCCAGCAAGCGATGCTTGGGCTCGTCCATGGAAAGCTCTCGGGGCTCGTCGGCAAAAGCTCTGGCTACATCGAGAGCCTGCCGGTAGAGGTGAAGAAGAACATCGAGGCTCTCAAGGGCGTGCAGGTCAAACAGGTCGAGCTGCAGAATCAGTATAAGCGCGAGTGCCTCGAACTCGAGAAGAAGGTGCGTGTCTTTCATTGTGGCCTTCCTTGGACGGACGAGTATGTGGGGACAGGATCGTTGGGCGTTCTTGTCTGACTGAGACGGGGCGGGTTTGGTCGCTGCGTCATAATCGTCATATTGGGAGATCTGCGTTTTCATGAAGCATTGGGAAAGACTGTTTGCGTTCGTAAGGACGCGTACTCCTGGCATTGTGAGAATGCGGGGTAGGCAGGCGGATCAAAACCTTGTCTTCGGAGCCGATATCTTTCACTGCAGTGGCATCCGACGATCTGTTCTTGACTTTTCGCCGTTAGCTTTAAGCCCTTCTCGCGTACCGAAGATAAATATGTTACGATCTCGCGAGAGTAGCATTATGCATTTTACGTCTGCGACCAAGACAGGCCCCTGAGTCTTTACGCGTCCTTCCCACTACCCTCCATTATTTCTACAATACTGACGTTTTCTTTCACAGTATCTCGAACTGCAAAAGCCGTTGTATGACCGCCGTCATGCGATCATCACTGGTGCGGCACAACCCACTCCCGAAGAGATCGAGGCTGGTGAAAAGCAGTCGATCAAGGATGATCCCGACTACACCCCCCTCCCGAAGGATGTGCAGCCTGCTCCCGCTGGCATCCCCGAGTTCTGGCTCACTGCTCTTCGTACACACGCCCACTTTGGCGAAGTCATCACCGACCGCGATGCTGACGCCCTCAAGTCGCTCATCGATATCCGCATCGAGTATCTGCCTAGTACAGAACCCAAACCTGGCTTCAAGCTACTGTTCAAGTTCGCACCCAATGATTATTTTGAGAACGAAGTGCTCGAGAAGACGTACTTGTACCAGGAGGAGGTCGGCTACTCCGGCGACTTTATGTACGATCGCGCTATCGGCACGGAGATAAAGTGGAAGGAGGATAAGGACCTGACAAAGGAGTTTGAGGTCAAGAAGCAACGCAACAAGAGTAAGTGTTGATATGTTTCGATCGCCCTCCCTCGCTTTGGATGAGCCTTGTCCGGTCGGCTAACTTCGTATCCCTGCTCAGACACCAATCGCACTCGTCTAGTCAGGAAAGCGCGCCCCACCGCGTCCTTCTTTAATTTCTTCTCGCCACCCCAGCCCCCCTCAGACGAGGCCATCGAGAGCGGTGAGCTTGATGAGGATGAGCTTGAGGAGCTCGAGGAGAAGCTGGAGATTGACTACCAGCTCGGTGAGGACATCAAGGAGAAGGTGCGTCGGACCCATATTGCCTTTTGAGATATCCTAACGTGATCTTCTATACAGATCATTCCTCGTGCAATTGACTACTTCACTGGCAAGGCGCTCGAGTACGAGGACTTCGACGATGATGACGATGACTTCGAAGACATCGATGATGAGGACGACGATGAGGACGAGTTCGAGGATGACGTATGTTTGTACCAGGTTTCTTCGTTTATGTTGTACGCCACTCACCTTTGTTTCTTTCTTGATTCTCAGGATTCCGACTCCGATGGTGATATCCCCGCGAGGAGACGTGCGCCCCCCAAGGGCCGCGGCGCCGGCGCGAATCAGAACGTCAACCCTGAGGAATGCAAGCAGCAGTGATTTTTTCCGCCCTGTTCACTGCCACTCGTTCGTTGTCAAATATTGCATCTTCCCGATACGTACCACTCCTTTGCATCGCATCGATTGTTGGCGTTCCGGGCTTGCGTGGGGCGTGATCGCTCCCGTGGGTGCGATTCGCGTAGTCACTCTCCCTCATCCCAACCTTTCCTCCCGTGACATGCTGTCCCGCATCCCTTTCACTCAACCATATTCATCGGTACATCGCTTCTCCTGCAATCCTGCGCGTTCCCTTCTGCTGGCATAAAGTAAAGCTGTAATCGCCGTCGTCTTTGCCTTCATGTGTACTACAATCGTCTCGAACTAGGATCCGTGGTGCTGCCTGTGCTTAGGCTGTGTAGTCTGTTACATTAGTCCTCCCTCCCCTCGTGCGGTGTCTGCTTGCGATAGCGACGTCGCCGATTAGCGCTGTCTTTCATTAGTCTCTCAGTTGTGTCGATGTAGAATCGCCGAAATGGAATGAGGATGCGCGGAGAGTCAAAGACCAGTCAGTGTTTATAATGCCTGGCAAGTCGCCTAGGGATTGGAAGGCTTACGAGACGACTTCGCCGACGAAGACGGCGGACGAGAACGGTGAAGTATCAGCATGATTCACAGAGAATATGCCAAGCAATGGCATACTCCGCAGGCTCAGGCATTTGTTATATAATGCTTATGTGACGGGAACAGATCTGCTAAACTATCACGTTTACCCAGGGATGAACACAATGGTCTTAGTAGTGGTGTGTGCCGATGATAAGTTCGGCAGCGCTGGTGTAGTCTCAGAGAGACATGGAGGCACAGTATGGGATGTTGCTCTGACCATGATTTGCTTGTGTCCATTTGGACGTTTAAAGGTTGTCGATTCAAGTATATGTCTTCCTGGAAGTTTGTATCAACGAAAGTCCGATACTTCTGAAATGGGTAGATTGTCAGTCGTGCGGACGCATCGTCTAGGCTGGGCCGATATCATCCGCTACTGACCCTGCTCAATATCCGAAAGCAAAGAAAAATGCCCTCCGAGACGTCACTTACAAAGTGCTTCCGGGCCAGCTTAGTGTACGTAAGAACCTGGCTCACCCTTCAAGCTTCAAGTATCACTAATGTAGTCCAAGGTCAGGGCCTATGACTCGGATGGCGCGGGGGCTAGTATTCTGAAGCTCAGTAATCTGTCTTTCAGATCCAGTCGAGGAGACCATCATCCTTGGGGGGCAAAACACCTCCATGCTAAGGCTCTCCGAAGTCCCTAATAGCGATATCGGCTTTCTTCCGGGGCTATACAAGGATAATACTTGAGCTGGAGGGACAACATGGGAAACTATGGCAGTTGCAGGCACAGGCATCGGCTTCTTGAACATTCGCCTGGATCCTGAAAATATCATGAATGTCATAATGAACAGGATAATATCTTTCATATTAGACGTCCATGCGCACCTGCTGAACGACAGAAATAATGTTCTCCGCCGCCGCTGCAGATACTATGATCGTGCTACCCAAACGTCGACATGTCATATTAAGAAAATTTGGGTCATCAACTGAGATATTGTTGTTGCCGGCCCGATACTCGTATAGTGGTTAGCTCGCGCCTTCCCCTTTCTACTGAGCAGACGATCCAACGGATCAAGGGGTGTTGAGTATGCTTTCTGGATATGGCAGCTGCCGCGTGGAACCGTAAGCGGGACTGAATTCTAGATCTCGCGTCTCCCACGCCGCGTTGACGTTTAGCGCGCCGTCTGCTTAACGTCGTGCTCCTTCTTCCCCGGATCCCCGTCCCTTGAACTCCTAGGGCAACATGCCCGAACGATCATATTCCGAGCTCGCAAACTGGAGTGGCAGCGTCTCTTCGGCTGCAGGAACCGTACACAATCTCGACATTGTCAAATTTCCCTCACCATCTTCATCGCGCTTGGGAACCGCTTCTTCGCCGAATCCAGATATTCATACTACCTTTGGCCACAGAGATTCTCGTACGCAAGTCCCATTGTCGTCGGTTACCGCATCAACCTCGAAGACAGGAGTCGCTATGGACGGGACACGCTCGCCAGCGGGAGAGAGACCGCAGGATCCAGCAATCGTGGCTGTGATGAACTCAGACGTGTCCGAGAAGACGAAGGTGGGTATCCGTCATGATCTCAAGATGGCGAAAGTGGTTCAAGTATTGACTCGAACAATTGCCGTTAGGACGCGACGCGACAACGCTTGAGCGCTGAACACCCTAGCGATTTGCCCATGGGCGTTGCAGCAGAGGTGCGCTTTTGTACTCCTTCTGACAAGTGATAGGCTGCTACTGACCAACGGACGCGTAACTGTAGCGAGTTCCCAACGGATCCGGTCACCCACCCGAAGCACCGTCTTCCCCCTCCCATCCGCAACCGAACTCAATCTCGCCGCGCAAGCCGCCGAGTAAGGCTGCACATCCGCCACGACGCTCATTCCAAACAGACAGCGGCGGATTGACGGGACCTCCTGTGGGTGATGACGACGACACTAACTCCTTGATGGACGCGGACGGGGAGACCGACCACGAAAGTTCAGTCTCCGTCTACCCTATTCAGAGCAATATGGGGTCATCAAGCTCTACCACGAACGTAAGTTGGCCTCGGGAACGCCAGCTGTATCTAACCCGACGTTCAGCAGACCGATACGAGGGACTCGACCGAGGCGACCACAGTCATGCGCACCTCTCCCGTTAACAGGAGACAAAAGCGGGCAAGCAAAGGGTCATATAACGGCCAGTTCATGGATGCTGCGCAGAAGTACTACGTAGCGTTATCGGCGAGTTGATTCATTTCGTGCACTGCGGCAGATGTTGACGCCACGCTTGCGACACCAGCCATCTGCCCAACCCTCCGCTGCAGGTCTCTCTCCCTCCACCGCGCCCTCCGGTGCCTATTCTCAAAGCCAGGCGCAGCTCATGTCTGCGGGCGGTCGTGTCGTATGTGATCTATCGCGTCGTTTCCAGATGACAGACTGACTACAGCATGTGTTGCAGTCCTCGTCTCGCCGTCGCCGTCGGTCAAGCTCATTCACCTCGCCGGAAATTCCCCTGTCAGCACTTGCTAGCTCCTCTAGACCGGCGAAGAAGCGTCGGCCCAACCTGGCCTACGTCGAGGTCCCTCCCCTTCCCCCGGGGCGCCGCCGGGCATCGTATCGCCCTGCCTCGGAGATCCGCACGCTTCAGGACCAGATGCGGCACGTGCCCTCAGACGAGGAAGAGGCTGGAGCTGACTACGCTGCGGGCCTCGGGTGGGCGCTGAACACCGCGGCGGCATCGAACGGACGGCAGGTGAGCGCGTCGCCAGCGAAGTCAGGGCGGCGGTCGGTGCGGAGACGCGTGACGGAGCCGGTGGCGCAAGAGATGAGCACGAGCGTGCGGTCCGACCGTGCGATGAGTGTGACTGTGCCAAAGAAACGTGGTCGGCCTCCGAAGGTCATCAAACAGAGGGCCGACGAGGCAGAAGTGGAGACCCGGCCATCTCGCAGAGCGAAGGCGAAAGGGAAGGACAGGGCGTACGAGGCTGATTCTGAGCCAGCGGACAGTGACGGCGAGGATGAGCGTCGACTCGCAGGGCAAGACGAGGAGCAGGCGGAGGACGACAGTGGCCACGTTCTCGCAGACGAGATGGATGCGGAACCAGCGCCGGCGGCAGACGCGTTAGAGGAGTTCTTCCCGTCCGTGAGGATCGACATCGACAAGTATCCACTGGCGGCGGACGGGGTGCTGCATGTGGCATTCCGACGGCTGCTCATTGGGAGTAAGAGTCTTCATTGGCCTCCTCGCAGCGAGCAGAGCGTGACGTCGAGCCTTCCACAGGCACCGCCTGTACTTGAACCGGCATCCAAGGTGGACGCGACGGCTACGTCTTTTCCAGCTCGAAAGAAGCCCTCGATATCCTCAGCTGTGCCACTTCGCTCGTCTTCCATAGCCATGTCTCAGTCCTCTTCGTCTGTAACACCCACGACTTCGTCCGCCACGAAGGTCCGACAACCGATCAAACCTCTTCCGAGACGTCACGTATCCAAACAGCACACAGCTCACCTGGCCCATGACGCCAATACACCACCTACTGCTCACGCTTCGACGAACACTGAAGCTGCATCTCCCGAGAGTCCAGCTAAACGAACGCGTCTCCGAACGTCACGCACGTCATCGACGCTGACGGCTCCTGTACAAACACCTCTGAATTCTGCGTACGCGTCGTCAATGTTTCAGCTATCTCCCCTTCGAAGTTCTGCCGTCGTCTCACAGAGCACATCTACCGTCGCGTCCCAGCCAACTGTTGCAGCCCCCCATTTCTCTCCTACGCCATCACAGCCCTCTCCAACACGTCCATCAGCTCTTCCTCAGCCCTTTCCTGGCTTCTTACGGACGGACTCTCAGCAGAGCATCGACTTTGGCGCGTCGTTCGCGGATTGCGACATGTTCTCCATTTCCTCTACTGCCGTTGGGCCAAGTTCCAGCCCGCATCCTCTGCCTTCACAACAGCAGTTCGGATCACAACCGCCGTCCACTGAGTTCCGGACTCTGCAAGAGATCCTCGAATACGTGGAGGACAACGGGCTTCAAACCGAATTTCCCCAGACCGGTAGCGAGGTGGGGAACGAGCTCAGGCAGGCGACTTTTCAACTCGAGAAGGCGCAAGCTCTGGCGCTGCCATCACCTTCGATTATCTCTGGGGGCGAGTTCCTCGCACAGTCAGGACTAGGCACTCTCGAAGAGTGTGGCAGTGTCTATCCTTGGATGCTTGAAGGAATCGGCCAGCTGAGCGCAGACGTGCAAGCGGGCTATTCAAGCGGCTTCATAGACCCGTCTCTTCTTGGAGGATCAGGTCCCAACGCATCCGTGCAGCTAGAGGCACACCCGCCCTTGTTATCTCCCCAGACATCTCAAGAGTCGGGCCCCGTCGCAGGCCCCTCCCGCGTCCCGGAGGGTCGCCGCCAGCCGTCGCTCGAAGGGTATTCTCGGACGCGCTCGCGCTCGTCCTCTCGGACAGGCTCTCCTACGACGCCCTGGGAATCGGCACCGAATGGACCCCAGCGACAGTTCTCTGTGCTGTCTCGAGACTTACCTGCTGTCTACAAGGAGGGGAAGCGGATGCGCCGTCCGACGGAGCGCGCGATATCCATGCGCCATGCACTCGAGATCACCGACGAGAGCGAGGATGAGTTCCTGCCTAGCACCCCTGACAAGAAGAGGAGCGTGCCGGGGAGGGAAAGGGGAAGGGGGAAAGGCCAAGATGCCGGAAAAGATCAAGCGAAGAAGGGCGCGGGGAAGGGCAAGGGCAAAGAGAAGGCTATCGAGATGACCGCCGATGAATCCATGTCTATCAGGCAGCTAGTGGAGGAGCCGACGTTCTGTCATCAGTGCAGGAACAAGACCCTCCGGGATAAGATGCGCTGCACGTCCATCCGGGCCTCAGGGCAGAGATGCGGCTTGCGATATTGCCAGCGGTGCATTGAGCTCAGGTATGTGTCAGGTCTCTTTTCCATTTCGAGTTGTATATGTACGGCACCTGGCGTCTGCGGTTTCTTGCTCGTAACCTTGACGATGACCTCTGACGTGTGGTCTCCCTTGATAGGTATCCCGATGTATCGTTCGACTCCTATGCCGTCCACTTTGTCTGCCCGCGTTGCCAAAATATTTGCAACTGCACGGCCTGCGCTCGTCAAAGAAACGAGCCTTACATATCCCTCCGCGTTGGAAAGCTACCGAAGGCTGGCCCCGCGCTCATGAAGGAAGCTGAGAGAATTCCCACTCCCAATCGTATATCACGCCAGCAAGTGCCTTCACCTCCCCCTTCCAAGCTCGACCTGGTTCCTGAACAGTTCTTCGGAATAATCTACGGCTTGCAAGGGGAGCGTATGGGGCAGGGCTATATTGCTGATATTCCACGGGTTGTCATCGAGCAACAGACAAACGCTACAGCTACAACGAATGATGCGCGCGCGCCAGTTCGACGGAAGCAACCACGGCAGTTTGGCAAGCCTATTGCGTATATCGGCAAACGGCGAGTTCCGTTTGTGTTACTCGACCCGACCAAGCACCAACCACACCTTCCTTCGGCGGATACTGCGAAGTTTCAAGATCCGCATGAGCACGACTCAGTCGTCGAGATCGGCCAGTCTGCTATCTCACCTACGCCGCTCGAAATGCTGCAAGTTGTCAAGCCCGGCCAATCGATCGAGAAGGCACCATCGGGCCCACCGCTACCTCCACGTCGAACGTATATAGGCGATCGCTCGGCACTTGACAAGGGCACGTATGTATCCATGGACGAGCTCATCAAGCGCGCCCTTCGAGCGGAAGAGGATGGCTCGCTTTCAGACTTACCTTTTGTGGACGACCGGGAAGGCGTCACGGATGTCGCGCCTCCCGTGAGCGCGCAGCACAGCGCCCTGGACGTGCAGTGCGCCATTGCGCTCGCCTTCCATAGATTACAAGCCTCGCCGAAGGACCAGGCAAAGGTCGCGGCGGCGGATGCGGTGAGAACTTAGTTGGTGGGCCTTTCTTGACGAACCATCGAATGTCGCTCATCTCTTGTTCATCTTGACCTCGAATTTGACGCAGTCTCTCATACATAGTTATTTCACTTATAACGTTTTGTCCTCAACTTTGTTATGCGATGCGGAGTACTCTGGGCTGCCACCTCTACCTTATCTTACATTCAATACCTGGACACTTGATTATTCACTGGCCGATTACCCCGACGATACAAATCTAATGCTGGAGAAAGAGCAGATATAGCTAGCCGTGTGTGAGTTTCATGTGAATGAAATCTGGCGAGCTAGGCTGGGAAGACGGGGACTTTGGCTCCTACAGAGAACTGGTGGAAACGGGACATTGGCAGTAGGGACCCTGTTGAAACACAGTAGGCGCAAGTTTCTAGGAATCTATTAAAAACGTAGGACAATCTCTTACGCGCACTCAGGCCATCCTTCCTCGCTGGCGACAGATAGCGATTTCGTTCGTAAAGTCGTGTCCGAATACATGCTTCATTGTCATGGCAGCCTTGCGACGTTGTTGGACGTGCTGAGATTTGCCGTGCGCCGATGTTCACGACAGTCACCACGATACATCCAGGCTCCCACTAGCAGCCTTTGTAGGCCATTCATAGGAAGATATAAGGCTCGTCTCCTGGTCCACCGGGCCAGCATTGCCAGGGGTATCGAAAACAGGAATGCATACGCCGGATACTGATGCAAGTCCTGCAAGATCTGTTGTCAAGAGTCTGACCGAGACATTTGTACGAGTCGACTCACTGGTCCGTGGATTTCGTTCGCTAGATGTGTGATGCAGCGTACCCAATCATCCTTATAAGAGTCGGGCAGCAACGCGTCGCAGAACTGCATTCCGTTCATCCCGTTCAATATCGTCGCGGAAGTGATAGTCCAGGTGGTTTCATCCGACCACAGATTGTCGTGCCACCATACCACTTTCTGCCAAAGACTGCCGGAGCTGTAGGCATCTGTAGACAAAGTCTGCATCGCTTCGCTGTCGCCATACCGACAGCACCTACCCTCAGGCAAGGGGCTTGGGCTTTGATTTCGGCAAGGTTGTCACGGACTCGCTTATGTAGGCCTACGTTCTCCGGCACCTGCATCAAAGCCTTGAACCTTTGGGCGGCCAGCTCAATCACGAGAAGATTCTCGTCATGATAAATCATGTCTCTCTGCTTGAGGTGAGTGTCAATGCCCGTCGAAAGCACTGAAGCGGCCCACAGAGTATATCTCCTTCAGGCGCAGAGACGTCAACCTGGGTCGAAACGCAGTGGTCTGCAGTATCGATAGTAGCGATGCACGACGTATGCCATGGCAAACGTAGGTACGGGGGCGAAGCTTATCCACTTCCACGTAGCAGCATCATCAGGTCTAAGAAGGAGACTGTGTAGAGTATTTGCACTCACCGAGATGCGACGTACCCGAGAGTTGTGGTATGGTGTGAGTTGGACTGAGTTGAGGAGCTCTGGAGACTTTGGGAGAGCAATGTCCTCGTATGAGCTGAGATCTGATGGAGACATTGCTTGCCGTGTCATTGCGTAACTAGTGAGATAGTCGTTTGAGTTGCTACAGACCTGCTGTCGACAAACACAAGACTAATGAGGGGGGGTCAGAAACAACGTGGTATGCCTGCCGTGGATTGTCCCCGTCGGTGTCGGCACAAAATCGGACATCGGACCGCTGTCCAGATAAAGCCCACGCTCTATCCGTTCTGAAAACCCGTAACTATATCTCACGAAGCATATTCATCCGATGTGTCTTCGATCGCACGCGATTGCTCCTCGAGCAGAACACACATGCTGACAAGAGTGGTTATGCCTATGAAACATTGTGTTGTGGGATATAGACGGGATGGCTGACATTCTGGAAACAACGTTACTTTTGCGATCATTCCCTAGTTTGACTGCAATGCGGACTGGCTAGAGCATGGACCCCTTGGCCAAGTCCTCATGTTGCGTCTTTGTGTATTTGAGAGTGCGGTGATTGTGGTGTGCCACTTACCAAATTGGAGACGGTTTCGCAAACTGGACACGGATGGCGAGACATGGTACATCTCCTGCATGGCCTTCTACCGACTCACATGTATCTATCTTCCCAGAACGCCGTACCGTCATATATAAGGAGACAGATACGGTACAGACGTCGGCGGCAACCTCGCCCCCGATCTCGCGACATGCCCTCGCGTCATGTGACAAGGTATAGACAGATGAACAGCTGACCGGACCAGGCGTCAGTCGAGCGCATCGTCTAAAAGCAACACAACGAGCACATACCAGTCCAGAATCCGAGGTAAGTATTCAGCAGAGCATGCCAATCATACGGGATCGGGTGGCGAGGACTCGTATTCAATACCCATCTCCTTGAACTCCTCGTCAAAGTCGCCGAATACGTCGATCATCAGACGCGCAGCGACATCCTTCTCCCGTATCCTTCGAAGATATCCAAATTCCCGAAACCCAGCAGGAAGCTCCACATACATCCATGCTCCAAGAAGCAAGCGCTGCCAGCCGTTCATAGGCAGATACAAGGCCCGGCGTCCTGACCAGCGTGCAAGCATCGCGAGCGGGATGGAGAGGCCCATGCCCCATTCAAGCGCCATAGACAGCCGTTCCGCCTATGTATTCGGTGCCACAGCATGTCAGCGAGCTTAACCGAGACAAGTGACAGAGATGAGATGAAAACTTGCTCGTCTGGAACTATAATTTGCAAGATGAGTAGCACAGATTTCGAGGTCTTCGCGCGGGAGTGCGCTGATAGACTGTTTCTCGTCGAGCCTGAGAAGGAGTAAGAGGGCCCATTTATTGAAGGTGTCCTGGTTTGACCACATGCGGTAGTCCCACCAGGCAAATTTCCCAAAGAGGCCTAATGAACTGTAATCGCCTACGAGACCGTCAGCCTCACGCCGGCCCTTCGTACTCGCGCGCACATTGGTATACATACCGTCACGTACTCGCTTCATAATCTGCGCTATTTCAGGTTCCACTGAGAGCGACCTGAATATCTGGATTCCTTCCGGGTTGTTGAACGTGGCCGCAGCACGATCTCCGGCACGCTCTAGGATGTGAAGGCGTTTATCATCGATTATGTCGCCGAGCACAATTCCTTGATGTAGTGTCCCCATTATCGAGACGAACGCTACACCATACAACCCAGGCAGCTTCAGTGGCGTAAGAGGGGGTAAGCGTCGAGGTCTGTGGCGCCGGTAGTAACGGTGCAAGGCATATGCGGGTGGGAAGGCAGCAGTTGGCCACCACTGTAGCCACTATGACACTCGGTATAAGTTACTCAGTTTGAATGGCCAGATATGGAACAGATTCTTTACATTGAAGCCTTTTGCTAAACTCGTTGGCTGCTCTTCAAGTAGTAGGTGGTCTGGCTGCGGCAGATCACTGAGAGTGCTAGTAGTGTCACAGCTTGTGGGATTCGGTAGTGGATGGGTAGCGTCGAGCTTCCTAGGTAGTGAGTGCAATGGGCCATCCGACAGTGTTGTCCGATCACTGTTGCTCATGATGTATGTTCCAGTGAGTAAGGAGGTGCAGAGACAAACCCACAGGGCTCAACTCACGTGGCGATGCCGAGTTTGGTGATTATTGCCTTTACGTAAGCATTAATGGGTCGGAGCTGCCAGAGGTTCAACTCCCTGGTACATGATGCAACTCTTTTCGCACAACCTGCTTGCGGCGGAAGATCATCCTCAGGCTTCATCTGGGACTCGGGACGCATCGTCGCATCATAGTTATTGAGATACACCATTTGCTCCAATGATAGGAGTCGCTAAGTACACGAACAACTGGATTCGCTACAATGGAAGACTTGTAATAATGGTACGAGTAGTCAGCCTTTACTTCCATTCCACGCTGTGCGGCTTGTTCAAGTCGAGATTGAGTGCTTTGATGACCAGTCTGTAGACATGAGAATCATACTGCCATGCAGCTGTCTGAACGCCGTCGACCGTGACTTCCGTCGGCAACGTCTGAGCAGCTCCCAAGACGGTCACAGTATGGAGCCGCTGTGTGATCCAGTAGTCTCCGTTGGGATATATTGTCACTGCCCCCTTCCGGGCCTTCATCGTAAGCGTTGTGTTAGGCGTAGGAGGAACCGTCTCTCCGTCGTCAATGTAAGCTGTTCCAAATGCATATCCGTCCGCAGCCTGCGCCACGAGGAGGGAATATGGGCCTTGCCGCGTCTGGGCAATGGTGTACGCTGGTTCTTCGTGAAGTAGAATTGCAGATCCGTCGCGGATGTGCACGTTAATGTGCCCGAGGGGCGCACCTAACGTAGTGTTCGTTGATATGGAAGCGTTGACGACCTCCTGAGTATACCAGTCGCGCCAGATCACGCGACCCTGTCCCGGAAAGATACCTGGAATCCAATTTAGATCCAATGTCAAGCGGCACGAGAACATTGCAACGGAACTGACCATCCACTGAGGAGACATTCGGGGTAAGAACGGGTGTGACTAGCAGGTCCCTTCCGATGAGATACTGGCGGTCCACGGCGAAGAGCTCGGGCTCGTCGGGGAACTCAAAAAAGAGCGCACGGATGGGCGGGCTCCCGTGAAGCGATGCATTCGCGAACAGTGTGTACTGAATGGCCGAAGCACACATAACGGAGAAATTTGGTCAGAATTCGAGCACAGCACCTGCATAACGGAGAAGTGGATCGTACCCAGTAAGGGAGCAAACTGTAGCGGACGCTGATAGCGGTGCGGGAAGCATTCGCCACGCTGTCCCAGCGATACGGTTCCTGCGAGAGCGCGCTTCGGACATTGTGGTTCCTGTAGAAGGGCAGGAACGCGGACAGCTGCATCCAACGGTTGCAAAGCTCTTCGTCGGTGTTCCCTTGGAACCCGCACGTATCTGCTCCAACAAAGGGGATCTGGTAGAGCTGGAATTGGAGGACGCCTTGGATGCTGAGATACATGTATTGCCACTTGCTGATGTTGTCTCCGAGCCAGTGACCAGTCCACTTTCCAGAGCTGGGGAACGTGGAACGACTAATCAAGAACGGCCGCTTCCCCGGGTGAATGTCGAGCAGAGCGAGGTGAGTGGCCTTCTCCTCCATGAGCCCCCATACGTTGTGAACATCTAACTCTACGACTCGGTTCGCATGGGTCGCGTTTGTAGAGACGGTATGCGTGGACAAGATTCCATCCGCTGCCGTCACCAAGGTGTTAGCATCCGCATGCTATGACAAACAAGGTGCGCACCATTGTGGATAGCGTACGGCGGAGTATTGAGGTTTACGCCAGACTCGGCTGCAGCACCAAGACCGCGCTTCGAGAGCGCATTAGCTGCGCTGTTATTCCCAAACGTCAATGTACCGTTGATTGTGATATTCCCGCTTGGACCCCAGATCGTTGCGTTGTACCTGGAGATTACCGCAATAAGTCCCGACATGAGGAACAGGAGCTTCATATGAACCACACGAACCCTTCAGGATAGTCAGTGACCAAGTTCCCGGGAGTTCCGGGGAAGAACTGAGTCGGAATGGTCGCCGCTGTCAGATTAGCACCAGTCCCGCTGCCCAGCGGCCGATTAAGCGTTCATTGAAACGACGAAGATGCGGACCCAACGTAAGCTTACCATGAGCCGATACAAAACGAGGAGGGCTCGTTCATGTCTAGCCATATGCCCGAATAGTTGACGCCAGATTGGGACCAGTTTCGCAAGGCTTCCGTCCAGAACGACTGGGTATTGTTCGCGAACCAGTCCGGGAAAACCTGCGAAGGCCATCGTCGATGTGCGAACTTACGGCAGCGCGTGAGCAGGACTCGTTACGCACCGTGTACCCCGGCCACACCTGACCGAGGTACTGAGAGCCATCCGGATTCTTGAGGAAAACGTCGCTAATCGGCAAGGTAAGCGAGATGGGTGATAGAGCGATCTTACCCCAAGACAACGGAAAGTTCACGCACAGTTCAGTGCCCCTAGAGTACGGGTCGTACTGCGCGTGGACATGTCAATCGCACGGACAGGCGGCAGCACGAAGCTTCCTTTACGTACCACGTCGGAGTCATTGACCAGGATTGGGATGGCGGCGTCGACAATGGGAATATAGTGTTGCTGATTGGCGGTCTGTACCAGGCTTAGAATGAGGCTTTCTCCAGACGCGCGAAATGGAACGGCAATATCTCACCAGCTCGTCAATGAACGCCCGTACTTCTTCGGCGGGGAAGCTGACGGGGTCTGTCGTGAAGTCGCGGATAGCATGATACAGGTCAATGTCATTCCACATGACCTCCAGTGGAATGTTCGCCTCGCGCATCTTCACCACTTGATCCCTCGTGTCGTTCACGTCACTGTAGCCCCACCGAGAGAGTTGAAATCCGAATCCCCAGGCGGGTAGCCACGTAGGGTGGCCGATGAGGTCTCCATATTGTTCGATGACCTTCTGAGGACTAGGTCCAGAGAAAAAGTAGAAGTCAAGCGTGCCGCCGAGGAGCCGGTATTCGATCACCGAGACCGGAGAAGAAGGGGGCGTCAGCAGGAGGATATCAGATCCCGCGGCACTGTGGGAGAAGGCGAAGTCGTATCATGTGCGTCAGTCTATGGTCCGGTGGGCATTTCCAGGGAAAACTCATACCCAAAGTGAAAAACACCGTGAGATTGAGAGTGTCTTGTCGTCTGGTTGTAACGGTGTTCCAAGTAGATGGGGTGCGAGCCATACCTAACCGAGAGGCCTGCGTGAGGTCGAACTTAGATCGTCGTATTGAAGAACTCACACATTCTGGTTTATAGGATCCGGGCTGTCCCGTGCCCATAGCGTCTGTATGGTTCCAACCCCGCCATCCGTACCTATGTCTCTCCGGAAACCACTACTGGATAGGACTTCACCAAGCCCGTAGATGTTGGCACCCAGAGGAAGCGCCGACGTTAACTGCAGATACTGGTCCTCAAAGACAAGTGGAAAGCCGTCCAGAGCAGTACTGTTATCGCTCGCGATGATCGGTGGGATTGGAGTAGAAGGCAGCGAGCTTGTACGAGTGTCGAACAGGGGCTGGGCGTCTGGTTCTGACCGCCGAGTGATCCAGAACGCAAACGGGCTAGACTCGTATTGAAATTCAAGGTCTGAGTTCCTCTTCAGGGAGGGATCGTCCTCCGCATCAGGTAGAGCAATTACGTCTGGCAAGATTGTAAACTGAGCCTTGTCGGTGTCAAAGATGTTGACGTGAAGTCTGAGCGGATATGACTAGATAAGTAAAGTGAAGTGGGGCGAGTCTGACAGGAATACCGCATTACCGCGTTTTTGTCTCGTAAGTAACTTTCACAGTCAGATTTGCGACATCGTGGCCAAACGCGTTGCAAGCAGGACCTGCAAGGGTCAGCCATGCCAATATACCGTTTTTGTTTTCTGATTTAGAAAACACTGTGTAGCCTGCAAAGAATTTCTCAGTAATGAAGACGAGCTAGTGCTAAAGGGTCCATCAATATTGCTGTTGACATCGAAACCCAAACTCTCACACTGAGTTCTTAAGCAGAAACCGTGCTACGCAAGCACTCATGAACATCACAGCGCGTTAAGCACTTCAGGCCGACCTGCAGGGCCGTGATGTAATAAGCCATGATCGACCACATGGTACTCAGGAAGACAGTCACATGCGAAGGACGCCATCGCCGACCGCATGCTCAACCATTCCTTAGATACCTGCATTACTGTTCCTTGCATCGCAAGTTAAACGGAAGAGACTTCGGAATTCTGTATGGGAGAGAAGAATAATGAATCGCGAGCTCGCATCTACAATAGATGATGTCCCGCCTTGGGTCAGGAAGGTCTAGAGACTAACGGTCAGGAAGAGAATACTGACATCGTGGTCCGCCTCTAGGCTTACACGACGGTCACGGAACGTGAGTCCCGACATTGACTGTGATCGACGTTGGCGTTCATAGTAGTAACTAATCGGCAAAATGAAAGAGTCACCCATAATGGCAAAGAACGCACCTGGACAAGACGACACGTTGAAGGACGGGATCGTGACGTTGGCGCTTCTTTGCAACAGCTCTCGTTCAAGGTTGGAGGATTTTCGAGCTAGAACGGTTTGCCGTAGGAGCAGGCCACTGACAAGCAGGATCGCCAGCATCGTGTTGCGCGGACGCAGAGGGCGAAACGTGGCCGAGAAAGCCCCGTGTAGCTTTATACTCTTGGGAAGCTGAGTCTTCCGTGTATATTGGTCTGATTGTGATGGAGAGCAGACGCCATGTTGCGAGCAATGAATGCGAGGAAGATCGCGCTTGGGGGCGACGTGGTCTCATGACCCCGGAATGTCGTAAACAAGCCAAGCAAGGCGTCTACATGACGCGACACTATGAGCAATGCAGGGCACTCAGATGAACCAAGAACAGATTCACCTTCTTACAGGCTACTTCATATCGATCCGCCGAGGGGCATCCCCTCTGGAATTGTGTCGGGACCGTCTTCAGGAGCCACGTCATGCCAAGACAGTCGTGACAAGTTATATCGCTTCAGCAACATGCACATGTTTCAAGACGACAGGAAATATACATCTTCTGAGCAGCAAGGAGAGTTACGGGGTGCAGGGCCAGTGTATTGGGATTGACTGACAGGAGTTTGCCTGCCCCTTTGCGCAGTGGCGGTGACCTTGCTGTGGGCGCTCGAGCGGGAAGTGGGCGGGCGGAAGCGGCATCTCCCGAGTCGCACATGTATGATGTGGCACCACCGTGTCGCCCGAGTCGCTAGCGGAGTCGGAGTAAGTATGTTAGTAACAACTTCACGATGGCTACGTTTACTCAGGAACATCCCCTCTCGAGACCAGAGTGGCTCTTCATACATAATATTGACCTCGAGTGGCCAGCAGCCGTGGTTCGCGATCAAGGTCAGCTCGGGATATTCTCGGTGAGCGTCGTTACTGATTCGCTGTTCCCTTCGTCATCTAGTAATCTCCTCCACATTCAGGTCTACCGTCTCATAAAATCTATACCTGCTTCCGGATGAAGGCTTTTTTGCTCGCGAAGTGCATAATTGCTTCTGGGCACACCGCAAATTACACATCATTCCCCCGAGTTTCCTCCTTGCTGGCGGCCGCAAGGAATCCTGGACCTACCCTACTTGTGGTAGGAACTTTCATGCTAAGGAAGACACATCGTTTTATCTCTCAGAGGAAGTCGGCACCAATTTCTGTCGGACAAGGTCTACTAGATGATGTCTTGCGCCATCAATTTCATCTTCTGCGAAATGTTGCAAGTGTGTTCCTTGTTGAAAAGTGCTCCTACACTTCAGGCGGAGCCTAAGCTACGGCATATCTGATACCACGTCACCTCCAGGGCTTCTCACACCACCCGCTGCCCAGGCATGTCTCCGAACACTCGCCATTCGATCAACACCCTCTAAAAATGATCGATATTCTCCGTGGTTGAAACCTGACCCTCAAGAACCTACCTTCTCCCCGGCGAAGGCGCTCCACCAACCTTGACGACTCACCTTGGCCTTGTATGGCGGTGGTGCAGAGGCGTCTTTTGCTTTGCAACACCGCATCTGGGGGATCTATGGTGCAGAGCCCAGTAGACATGGTCCGTAACCCACACCGCACATATGGCTTTCTGGAATAACTTCGTGGGGAGCTGCACCCGCGTGCAGCCTGCCCGACCATCGCAGGAAGCTCAGACAACACCTGGTGCTGCCGAGCATGGGTGACTCTCCGGCCCGCTCGACATCTCTCCCGCTACCTCCCCTGGAAGAAGTCCAGGCCTTCTGATGATGCAAAGCCAATCCCTCCGTGGGGTCTACATCCCCCGCGCGAAGCCTCTGTACTGCATGTAGCGGGGCTGCGGAGCCGTCCGAGATGGGTAGGATAACCCCGGCGCGACATCCGTTCGGCCCTAGCACGCACTTTATCCGACTCATCTGTCTACGAACCCTCGAAGATGTCATACCCGCGTTCTTCTCTTGGACGGTCGTGCTCCCAACACCTGCGCCGCACCTGCCGCGTCTCACGTTGTCTAGTCAGATGATGTGCGCTGCTCTCCTACCTCTGGTGTTCCTTCCTACGCTCAGGGTCCATGTATGTGCCTTACCTATTCCATGCATCGCCGACCGCATGCGCATCTGAGAACTTGTGAGGAAAGATGCGACGTGCCTCCTTCCTAATCTTTTCTCTCGGCTCCTCGTGCGCATACACGGTTCCCCTTCTCGTCTTCCGGTAGCATGGTGGAAAGCCTGGCCGGACCCGGCAGGCCTCGAGGTTTCGCTAGCAGCAAACCCCAAGGTGCCAACTGAATGTTATGTGTGTTAGACTTCTCTCGTTCTGGATCATCTCGTGCAGAAATATCTCTTTCCATGCGGTCATTCAGCACTCGATCGGACCGCCCACTATGGTGAGCCGTAGCCAGCGTCATTCAACAAGGTCGTGGATGCTTCCGTCTAGTGCGTGTTTCGAGCGTGCCACTACTGGAAGAACCAGCGACGCCATCCGGTACCCAATCGAGCTTCTTTCGCAGACTGTCTCCTCTACACCTCCGTCTAAATGCGCGTGGCTAAGTCCTCCATTTGTGGAGAGCTTCATTATTACGCTTCAGCTTCACCGGCGTGTCGCCGTCCAGACGACGAAGATATTCGCATTGCGCAGCCCGAGATCACTCTTGTAACCGTCATTTACCTTGTACACCCCCACTCGATAAGTAGTGGTGGATTGATACCACACTTTTCTGCCTACTATGCATGACAGAATTCCTTTCACGCTCCTCAGCCGTAAAGTCTTCATTATTGACGCGTATATAGGCGCCCAATGTTCATACTTGACCAGCTGAATGGCTAACCAGCAACATATAGGCCGCTATTGGTCACACCGGCTGTGTAACCAGATACCCAGCATGTCCAGCACATATCACGGCTCAAGATCGGCCTAGATAACCAGATTTCACATAGTAACTTATCGTACATCCACATCGGTCCACATTCCGTGGCAAAGCCGGCGCGATGGTGAGAATAGGCAACGGCCATTAAGGAAGTGTTCTAACGGGATAACCTCGTATCCACACGCTGGCCGCGCTCCGTGCCGAATGCCGCTATGAGTCATTGATGCACTCAAAGCCGCGGCTTGATGAGGTGCGTGACTGAGTCCGGATCGAGCACCGACTGCGGGTATGGCAGCTGCAACGTACGGAGGTGCTCGCTTGCACCGTCGACCGCAAGCGTCTGACCGGTGATATAGCGCGCAGCAGGGGTGAAGAGGAACACCGTCGCATTCGCGATGTCCTGCACACTGCCGTCGCGGCCGACCGGGGAGTGGATGCTGTACTGGCTGCCCTGGGGTCCCTTGGCGCTCAGACGGTCCATGCCCTCCGTTCCCGCAATAGGACCTGGGGCGATAACGTTTGAGCGCACGCCCTGAAAACGCACAAACATGTAGGGTTAGCCATCTTTACCCGAACGCAAAGAATGTGTATGTTGGGAATGTTTTGCGCTCACCTGGGGGCCTTCTTCAACTGCCAGGACCGCAGATACTGGAAATGGCGCGTTTAGAAGTGAACGGTCAGTACCCGAAGCTTCCTACTCACTTGCGTCGACGGCGGCTTTAGCTGCGGAGACGTGAACCTGATAGGGTGTGGCTGAAAGCAAGAACAAAGAGCGAGCTTCAGGAGAAAGAACCCCGGCGGTAGCTTGCGATGTTACGTACCGCGGTAGTGCAAAGTCGCACTGACGTGAATGTACGAACCCTTCGAGGCACGGATGTGGGGAAGCGTCGCCTTGATAGTGTTGTAAGTTCCGATCTGTTCTCACAGATAGGGTCAGGACGTTGTTCCATCCGCTGACCGCGCGTTAGAGCAGGGCGCACCGTGTCAATCTCGATGACCGTTCTGAAGCCGTTCTCGGACAACTTGGAGATCGGCGCTAGGAAGTTCCCAGCCGCACCTATAAGATGGCGCAAGGACAATCAACTCGGGTGGTGTCGTTCAGGAGAACACGCGATTTATACACACCGCAAATAACGAAGTCTATTCTGCCGTATTTCTCAATTGTCTTCGCAACGGCATCTTGGAGCTGTTTGGGATTTCTCACATCGGCCTGGACCGCAATACACTGGTTTCCAGTAGCAGTAGATAGCTCCTTCGCACTAGCTTCGAGCCGGTCCAGCCTTGTGAAGTGGGACATCAAGATGCCAGGATCATGGCACAAAAGACGACCTACTTGCGCCCAACAATAGCAGCACTCGCGCCGTGTTTAATCTACTCAACAGAACGTTGTGAGCTGAGGGTCGCGAGTAACAATGATTAGACTTACCACAGCCTGGGTCATAGCCTTACAGATTCCGGAGCCGCCACCGGTGCAGAACAGTACCTTGCCTCTGAAAATGTCGTCCTTGAAGACTGTAGTCGAGTCTACTGCTGGCGGCTCAATGTAGGGCTTCGCCATTGTGCTTTTGCGTGGTACCCGGTCAAGGAAGTGCTGGCGTCGAATGTCGAAGCGGACCACCGGCTGAGATTGCATCCGAGGTGACCGGGAGGGCGCCCGAGTAACCTTATCCAGAATACAGGTGATCAATCCGGCGGCCACGCAGTGCCGAGATGAATCAAGCGCCCATTGCGTTCCTTCGCGTGTACTAGGATCTCATCCCGACCGGTATGTGTTCGAAGTACGCCGTTATGCTACTCCTGGCTAACACTATGGTCACTATGGTCATAAATATTGGTTCCTCTTGGCGTATCGACTTCGGTTAATGCACTTCGGACATGCGCATGCCAGTGACACCCGATGCGACCCCGCTTACTCCAACTGTCCGCCCCGCCTCGTACGTCCGACGAGTTGGACAGCACAGTGATAGTTTGCGTAAAAATGTATGCAGTTCTAGATTGCAAGTTGATTGACTGAGAAGCCTGGCGGCTCGGTTTACGGTGACGTTAATCTCAGACCAATGATTCGCTCCAAGTAGACCTGATCTACTAGCGGGCTCCAAGAAAATAGGCGATCAATTCAGCCAGCTGCGCAGCCGGATTAATGACGACCTCCATCATAGGCGTCTCCTACAGTTGTTGGTCCAAGGTTCGCACCTCTTCCATCGAATGGTACGAACAGCCGGGCGTCGTAAGGCTGATGAATCCCATTTCAGCTATCAACCAGCCAATGGAGTACTTCCGAATCTATGTCAAGGTACGACAGGACAAGATGAGTAGAAAATTTTCCTTGCGGAGTTGTAGTCTCCCTACTGCCATAGCCGGTCTGCTGACCAGCTGGTTTGCGGAGAGCCCCAATGCGGCAAGGAACCATTGGGCGCTGCAACCCATCTCCTGAGAGAGCCCTTGGAAACGAGGCTTTAACGTTTGCTACAGTCTTCTAGGAAAGTTGAGACCGTGAGACTTGCCTGCTATACAATCCCACCCTCATCATGGCTAAGCCGGTGACCGTAATACGTATTTGCTCGCAGTCCTGTGTCGTAAATTAATCGCGTTGGCTGACAAGACTGTCTCACTGTCGTCTGCGCCGTTGAGAGATTAGTGAGCATACTTCCTGAATGATGAGGCTGTCATGCTAACATATAGACATACACGTGCTGGTCATGGGGCCTTCGCACGCAGCCGCGAAGCCTCCTTTTCTGTGGTCAATCATTGCCAATGCCATGACTGCGCTTCCGCCTCTACTTGTTTGGACAGGGGTGGATACTGCGCCTTTGTCTTGCAAATGACCCACCAGAAGCGAAATCAAAGAGAACCTCTCTAGCTTTCCCTCACGGGCTAATCGGCGGTCCGAACCCAGATTCCACGCGTCGAATGGGCTCTGGGCATGTCCGGGTCTGCCGCTTCGTCCATAACCTCCCACGTCTGTACTCTGTACGTGAACCCGATCGGGGCTTTTACCTGGTGACTTCCTCTTCCCTCTGCTCGGTCCTCACGCGATTTCACATTCTCAGTCCCCTCCTCGATTGCCCTCGGCATTCGAGTCGCATCCTGAGGCGCCAAGGAGGGGTAGTGAGTCCGATGAAGCCCCATCACCGCTATCCCGGTGCCTGTATAGGCGACGACTCCCACTCGCCACTGAATTTATCATCATTCACGACCGGGAGTAGGGCGCAAGATGCGCCTGCGAACTTCCATGAAGCGCGTCGTTGTCGGCCGGCGAGACAGCATGTTTGTCTAGTATGTGTCCACAGGCTGTCCTAGTTCACATTTCTGCTGCGACACTTCCTTGGTGCTTTGTTTTGCCCTTCAACAGCTCGGTCATGGCCTTTCGGCTCCTACAGGACATTCTCAGCCGAACCCAGTGCCCGTCTCCAAGTGCCCTTGTGGAGCAAGCTAGCGACAATATCCAACCCTCGCCTTCCCCGCTGCGTGTGCCATGCTCTGACTTGCTCATCCAAAATCCCTGTCCGGCCCACCAGCGCAGCCACACTAGCACTGCGTGTGTGCACGCCCGGGCGATCGCAAGCACCCCGCAATCGCCGATGTTGCGACGCCTCGGCAACAAGATAGGGAAATGGTCAGCCTCGTGGTGCGCGGACATGGCGGACATTGTGTCTATGTCCAGGAACCGCATGCCACCCATTACTCAAATCGTCGAGCAAAGGAGCGGAACGAAATTGAACATGTGCAGCTGACGATACGGATGCGCATGCCAGGCCGTGGACGTGGCGTGCGTCAGTGTCTCGTCCCGTCGAGCCTCCACATTCGAGACGAACATTCCGCCTGGAAGCCGCAAGCTCCGGGATCGGAACGCTCGATGCAGAACTTCCCTCTCGTGTCCATAGACGCTTCGGGCTGGGGATTCGGAATTAGGAGTAGAAGGGAGCGGCAAAGACAGGGGCCGTTCCCTCTCATGACTCCCAGTTTTTCTGGGTTTCTTGTCACCCTGCAAGGCAGCTTGTACCAACTCGGGCGCGCAGTACCCATGGCCATATGGCTCCCGCGGGTCCTCCCGCGGGCGCCTCTGGAGGGAAAGTTCAGCAATTTTGTTCGGAGTCGGTCTTTGTGCGAGGATCTTCGCGGCGCGGCGGACGTGGGTGAGCGCTTTCGTCTCGCTTGTGAGTACCCGAAAACACTCGTTAGGGATAGATCACTAGGCCTATGCGTGGCGTGCACCCACGAACTACACATACGCAACTATTGCTAGCTATACCATGTCGCCACACTTCCCTGATGCGTGCTTGAGGCGCAACCACATGGACATGTAGGTCTCTTTCTGTACTACAAGTGTGTAGACCGGGCAGTGTGATCGCTAGTAATTGCATGACTCGGTGTCGCCAGATTCCCGTCCCGGCGAGCGCTGGTAGGGAGGTTGCAAAGTTACCTTAAGGGTTTAGGGGGGTCAGTGCAGTAACGTGACTACCCTTCCAAGGTATTGAGGCAGTCGTACTTCCGCCCTGCCGCCGGCGAGGGGTCTAGATCCCGGCACGATGCCGTACAGCGTAGAGACTACTACGCAGGGCAGAAGAAAGCGCCCTGCTGACCCTAGCCGACCCTGGAATTGTGAGTTGGAGAGCCGCGAACTAGTAGTTATATAATTGAGGGAGACGTATACACATCGAATACATAACACGACGCGTGCAAGATCAGAACGATTGGAGACGTGCAATGCTACATGTTTGTGGCGCAGGGTCCGCTTCAAGGCAACAGTAGAACCGGAAGTAATAAACACGATTTGCAAATGACATGCAGAAAATGTAGACAATGATGCCAGAGCGCCATAATCCTGCTCCATTAGTCCATGAGATTAGTGTAGCTTATACCGAACTGAGACCTAGAAAGCTATCAGCGAGTCCTGAGCGGAGCACAAAACAATTTGAAAACGAACAAGTCAGGACCAAGCCGGGCGGATCGACCATAGTGACGGCATGCACTCGTGTGGAGCACTCAGCGTCTGCCAAACGTAGAGTCATCCCAATAACCCAAGTGCGCAGCAGAGTGCGTATTCGTAGCCGACCGCGCGCTCCCACTCTCCGCCGGCGACGCCTGCAGCGAGTACGGAGAGATCGAGTGCGAGTGCAGACCCGAGACCCTTTGCGAGCCCACCGTAGACCTCCCATATTGTTGCGGCCCCCACCCGCCGATAGTTTGTGGCGTCGACGACCCATACTGCCCGTAACCGCTTTGATCCACGCCTGTGTTTGCGGCGCCACTCTGTCGTCGACCTGAGCCAGAGACACCGCCGGGCACGGCGGATGATGAGAAGTATTCGTGTGAGCTAGCGGGCGTCGACACGGACGCCGCAGGCGAAGCGAGATCCATCGCTTTGCTCGTGGGCGACTCGTTCGGGAAGAAGGCCGAGTTTAGCGTCGGGAACTGGTTGGTGGTCGCTCCGTAATGGTGCGATGTGGACGCGCCAGAGCTACTCGACGCGGTAGTAGAGGACGTCGCGCTCGACCATGGTCTCGTGGGCAGCGAGGGAGAATACGCCTCTGCCTTGCCGTTGGTCGAGTTGGACAGCGCGCTCGGAATGGAAGATATTGATGATCGTTGTCGCGCCAAGTTGATGTCCAGTGCGGGTAGGACAGGCCAGTTGGAGCGTGTAGGGTCGGATCGCGGCGGCGCTCGGCTGGGCTGCCACAGACTGTGGTCGGGATGTGCACTGCCTTGCGACGCGTAGAGAGAAGACGACTGGGCGGAGTTCTGATACAGAGACTGGGACTGATATCCCTGGGCGAGCGCGCCGACATCGCTCATCGACGCTGGACGATTGGGTCCTATATGACCGGTCGGCAGTGAGTGCGGGGGGAGGCGGGAAGACTGTCCCAGATGCGAGGTGTGGAACTCTGAGGAGTAAGGATATGTGCATGAGGGCGCGGTTGAAGGGGCGACAGTATCGTGCGAATGATACATAGGTGGAGAGGGGTTGAGCGTGTGCGGACGCGTGTATTGCGCCTCTTGCGGGGACGGGATCATGAGCGAGTCGTCAGCATCGATAGGAGAACCGTCCTCTAATGATGGATCGTCGGGGTCCCCGATATGGTTCGGGTCTGATGGATCGTCGTGGCTCGGTTCCGTCTTACGCTTCTTGCGCGAATTGTTTGGCCGCCTGCGGTAGACATAGTCGGGGTACTTGGAGTTGAAGTTGTCCTTCAACTTCTTAGCTTGGTCGAGATAGAACTTCTTATCCGACTATCAAGAAGAAAGCATGGTATGCGAGTGAGCACTCGCCCGCGAAAAACACTGCGAAAGACGTAGTTTGCAAACAGACCATTTCCATGGAGTTCCATTCTTTGCTCAAGATCTTGCTCACGTCCCCTGTGCGCATCATCTGGTTCGCAGCAGAAATCTGTGGTCTGCGTTTCCGAGCGAAAATCATGAAAGCGTTCATTGGACGCTTTGGAGTCCCGTCCGCATTCAACGTCTGGGATGTGAGCGCATGATATGGGTCCTCTGTTGACCGGGTTGCGCGGGTCAGCGATGGCACAACTGCGTAGTGAAATGCACTCACCAGGAGAGCTGCCTTCGTGATCTGCATTCTCCACATAGTTGTTGAACGCCGTGCTTGATTCTGAGTCGGAGGGAGAGCCGTCTCGATCATGTCGCGCGAGGTCCGTTTTACCGGCGTCGTGGGTAGGCGGGTCGGCAACTCCCGAAGGAGTATACTGCGACGTCGGGTGATGACGGCTCATTTGGGCGAGGGGCAAGTTGGGAAGGACCGCCACGGTGGACAGTGTAGAAGGTGAAAGGCGAAAACAAGAGCGGGGTGCAAAGTACGACAGGTGTAAGGACCTGAGGAAGGCCTTGGGTGCGGGACCCTGAGGTGCAGACAAGGCAGTGGAGACTAGACGCTTGTGATGAGACCTAACGGCTAGCTCAAGAACAAGGCAGGAGGAGGAGTACGGCGGGAATGGCTGGCGTTATAGCTGAATGCGTGGTGGAGGGAACTAGATAGTGAAAAAGGAAAAAGGCCGCGTTCTCTGGCGCATCCCGGGGAAGTCAGAGAGAGGAGGACATTGGATGAACCCTCGAAACGGCCGGGAGGGGAGCAGTGGGCTGTACACAGGCACGCACGACCAATCAGCAGGCCTGTGGACGGGAAAGTCACTGGCGAGTGACAGTTCTGGCCGTTCGAGCCCAGAATACTCGACCAGAAATCGCCGATTTTCCACTGACTAGCTATCCGGATCTCCCTCGCAAGTTTGCCTTTTTAGATTTGTCCAGACTGACGGTCTCTCCTTTCGGCTAGCTTTGATTTATCTGTCACGAATCTGCCCCTTCTCCGGTCACAGCGCCCACTAGAGTGGGTCTCATGATGTCCTCTTCCCCAACTCCGGCATGACGGTCGCATAAGCAGCGAGTAGTACGTCCGCGCACTTCGTCGCCGCGTCGCCTTCACTTGAAGAGGTATTGCTCCGAGTCTCGAGCCGCCTCCGCCACGATAACCTCCACTCCTCGTAGCCACCGCGACAAGGTGATGACCGGTGCAAGGTCGGACTGAGCTTGAGAGTGCACGGCTGTACTTTCTGTTCATGATGCCCCTGCACATTTGCTAACGTACTGGCTATGGGTGATCTCAGTTCGACCGACGCGGGCTCGAGATGGAGCTGATTCACCTGCGGGAACGACCGATGGGCCGAATGATCGGAGAACCGGGGCGTGCGCGCTGCTATCAGAAGACAAGGCCCGCACCGGTCGCGCCAGAGAAGAGGACTCTGGACGAGGCGGAGAGCTAACCCCAACGTGTTGTCGTGAGAAACGCTGTCGACGTCGGAGAGTCCGCTGCTGGCATGTCGCGGAACCTATTAGCACTTCGACCGAGATGGTCGTAATCGCTGATGCCGTCACGACTCCGGTACTAACAAGGCGCAGGCAATGGGCAAGTGGACATCCTACGACCCAGTGGGATGAGTGCTACTATGAATTAAAACAATCGCACACGAGAGTACGGACTACAGTGAACTAGAGTCATCGCACGGTGTAGCACTGATTAGTCCGAGAGGCACAAGCGCTCACAGTTGCTCCCAGATCACAGTGCGCATAAGAGATCGGCCGGAAGATCTGGTGAAAGTCCCGCACAGCGTTGTTTATCGGAAGAATCCTACACGTACTACTATCCATTCAGATTGCTATAATTCATTCATTTAACTTTCGTCTCGTTCCACCAGATCTAGCAGCTCCCACTCTTCCGCGCGGAATGACGATCAGGCTCCGCCACCGAACCGTCCTGCGCACGATTCGCGACTTCGACGCCGGTACGCGGTCGGTGTTCGCCGTCCTGTGATCTCGATACTGAACTCGTGCCGAACGCCGTCCAGGAGGAGTCCGGGAATATCAGGAGAAAATGGTGCGCGGCAAGCGCCTGATTACCGAATTTTGGCAGAAAGTGCAACTGCTCTTTCGCTCTCGCGTTCCTTGTCTCGCTGATGAGCCGATCTTCGATATGTGACGCACCCTCGAACTTGATGGACCCCAGTGCTGACTGAGGTCCGAGCGGGCGGTTCGTTATATTTGCCAGTCCGAGACCAGTGTGCCGCCGGATCGCCACGTGTAACGACCGGTAGTGGCTGATCGAGCGAGGGCGAATCTAATCGCCAACACAGTTCTCGAGGCCTCAGCTCTGCCGACACCGGCACCTGTACTTGAGCTGGAAGGTACGAGGTGTACATGACTGACAGTGATCGGATGTCGAGTAGGGAGGTAACCCTACAAGTGCTGTGTTGATACGCATAGCTGCCATCGGCTTGGTCCGCGCCCCAGTGTCAACAGCGCACCGTCCGGGGCTCTGAGACCGCTGTCGATCGGTTATGATGGTCGCGCTTCCCCATGCTACGATGGCGCGCCGAAAACGTAAACGAGTCCTGGGCGCCGGGGTATCGTCGGGAGCATTAGCCGTCTACGGTGCTCCGAATCAACTCGCAAAACCCCTTTGAAGAGAAGGTACATGTTTCGCTTTGCATGGACATCTTGTCCTGGAACTCAACCTCGATGCGACGATCTGCACGCTTATGAGCACATAGACATGGATAAAATGCCCTCGCAGCAGTCCAGTAACGCTATCAGCCACGCCCGCCACTCGAAGCGCTCCATGCGGCGCCATGAGCATGGTTCGATACTGTTGTTGAAGCAGATGCATGATTCGCGGTCGATAACGGTGCAAAATAGTATGACTTTCGATGTCACTACTTGTGTACTGCGGCGCGGTCGTGTGGACATGGCGTCTACCCCGGCCGCGTCGGAGAGGACGTCCTAGGCATGCGGACGATATGCACTAGCCGTACGTCACCGTGCGTCTAGACCGAAGATCAGACTTGGGTGTGTGCGCTTTCCCCGACAATCTACATTTACGTCCCGAATAGACCGATGGTGCCATAGCTGACCAGTCGACCCTCGGCCAGCCTTGATGCCGCCCTGCTACGCGTTCGTCGCAGACCGTCCCACCGCCAGCGGCCAGAAACGTCGACTGTACACCGTGGGCACTTCGCCCGACAGCGGCGGCGTCATCAGGCTTGGCAGAAGCAGGCCCCTTCTTCCTTCTGCCGAGATTCGACAAATGATATTCCGCCCGCAACGTGGTCGCTCGTGCCTCCGTCCTACACTGACGTCCGATGCGCGGACGATAATTTCGTTCCTCTTCGACTTCTTCCTCCTCGACCGCGCGGTACGATTTGGGTCCTGGGCACACTCGCAGTCGCGCAAGGCCGCCGAATCCGCTGTCGGCGATTGCAAACACCAACCGCACACATGTGACCACCGGTGCATCAGCACCTCTTCTGTCAAGCAGAGGTCATTTGCTCACCCTCAGTGACGCAGTGGGGAAATCGGTGAGAAGCACCTCATGCTCGCCAGCCCGAGCATGTAGTCATGAGGTGCGCGTTTTCCCTTCGCGCTACGAAGAAGCGGCGGGGCGTGTCTCGCCGCGCTGCGTTTGTTTGTACCTCGTGACGACCGTCGTTCGCTATTGATGTCGTTATTGCTTATTGGCGGTCGAAAGACAGATCGAAATGAGACAACTTGTCGTTTGTAACGCGATATTCTGGCTTCCATAATGGGACGCCTCAAAGCGGGATTTGTGGCCTCAAGCGGTGGTCTGCACCTAACAGGTTTTTCGCCCCACGTACGGTTCTGCCTGGATAAGCACGGAATGAAGAAGTCAAGGCACACGGTCAGGTGTACGGAGGTTTGTTAGGGGTGACAGATAGAATCCTCTGAGCATGTGACCTGACGCGCCCTCGAGCACCGACGATCACGAAATATGGTATCTGCGTAGAGCCTCCACCCATGAGAGGCTGAGACGAGAAGGGAGCGTCCAGGAACCCACCCTGGACCCGTTGCAAAACGCACGTCATGCCGACTCTCCGCGACGTTTCATGGAAGTAATTCTTGGGCTTCTACAATGGCCACTAGAGCCACTCACCCTCCCCGAACGTGAAGTATGAGACCGTCGCACATCGGTGTGGATTAGAGCTCAATTTGGATCCGATAACTACTCGCCGACGTACGGTATGAAATTTAGGGTTGGGTGTGTCGCTTCATAGCAACAAGCCTGTACCTGCTTCGTACACGGCCCGCCACATTGCTCGCAAAACGAGAGATATGAGAAGTTGTCTTTCTTGTGTTGTTGAGCCGCAGCTTCACAGAGACTCCGCATCACCCCTGATGCTGAAATCCGACACGACGTTCGCTCCGAACGTCTTGTAGTGGATCTCTGTGTACTCTCACCAACGATGACTTGAGGAACTATGACTCCCACAACACGCGATATGCAATCTTTGTGTCTAGCAATGCATCGAGTTGGCTTTCCGTATTAGCCTTGACGAGAGGAGTGAATGGGTATGGCTTACTGAAGCTGGGTGGCCTGTGTCCCAATGTGGTGTTGGGTCGCGGAATGGAATAGAGTTGCGTCTCGTGCTACCACGACCGTGAGATTTTTGATGGTGACCCTGACTCTCCCATCCGCACCGGACATCGAGGTACCCAGCGACACATCGCTCCAATGGAGGATCCGAAGGAAGCACTTCGGGTGCAGGGGTTGGAAGCAAGCGTCAACGTTTACGCGGCCTGTGAGAGCCGGAGCCTCTAACGCAGGTGGTTCCCTGCGAAAGTGCGTAAAGAAGCGTGAGGGATGAGCAAGGAATATTTGGTAGCGTGTCAGACGCGCGTCCAAAGGGAAGGACAGGTCAAAACTGAGGTGTATACCGTCGCCCGTCGTCGACCATTGACCAAACAGATGTGATGGCTTGTCTCACGCATCAAGTGTATCCACTGGACGGTGCGAGTCGCATTGCGAGCGTGGGCGGACGAAGCTATGATTAGGTCATGGAAGGAGCCACTCTCGGACGGAGGTACGCGTATGGGATACGCTTCCCGCCACCCTCGAGAAACTCACCGTGCACTCTCTGTAGGCGTGAACACTGCAAGAGTGCCACCGAATGCACGTCTCGCGTGGTTGGACATGCTGGATATCGGCGGCTTTGAGCTATCGATTTGATCATCGGATTAGAAGCAGAGTTGGGATTTGGGTTCGGCATGACATACCACTGGCTCGATAACACAGAAAAGTTCCGCGAGTGCCTGTCCCTTTCACCCCTTCAGGTCCGTCCGAATCTCGTTACGGGTCGGCTCTCCGTGCTGAATCGTTCTCGTAAGTGGTGTTACACTTCGTAGACATTCCGGAGTCCAAGATATTGCAAGAAGAAGTCGGGCATCACCTAGGTCAGAAGTAGTGCGCATCGACGCGACGATATTTGCCGACACGCCAAGCAGATGCCAGCTGAGGGAGCGTCAAAGTAACACCGTATAAGGTTTGTGTCACGTGCAACCGGCTCCGTAATCGAAACCCGGTCTGATAGGGCAAGCCTGGCGTCCGATACGGTCAACTCGACTCATATGCATACCACGGCACGTTCAGCTTTAAGCAGCAAAGTATAGGATCAGCACTTCACGGTCAAGAGGGAAAGTGCTGCGGCAGATTGGAAGATGAAGACCCGCATTGTTGACGCCAGTATGTGTCGGGGACTCAACCCGTGAGATCAAGTACTGACGCAATCTCTTCGCAGATTTTCCTCGCACGCTCGACCAGCGTGTCTATCACCTTGGCCTTCGCGCTGGTGAAGTGGCCAATCGTATTGTACGCCCTTTCAAACTGTCCCTTCCACGAGTATGGAGGCTAAGCAATACCATCACAGATCACGCTAGGCACACCTTCGCGGGCTCATGGCATCGCTTCTTACCTGGACCCAGTCCCGATCGCGTTTAAACTCACGTCTGAACGTGGTTTTACGACCATTACTGGTCGTTACAAGGGAGTGCCCGTTTCGATTGTCAGCATTGGGATGGGTCATCCGAACGCGGATTTCTTTGTGCGGGAGGTAAGAGAATGTTTGAACGGCGAGATGGTTGTGGTGAGGTCAGTGAAGTTCTGTCTCTGCGCGTTTCTTGCGCATTTCAGCTCACTTAATTATTCTGATACTATCGCCGCGCCCAAGGCTCGGGTCTTGTGGCGCCCTCATTGATGTTCCCGTGGGATCTGTCGTAGTTCCTAAGGGTAGTATTGCTGTTACGAGGAACTATGATTTCGACTTCGTGTCCGGAGCGTCGGAAGGGCAACCTTACCGACTAAGCAAGCCGGTACGTCCCTATATCCTCCTCAATGAATATAATCGATTGACCGATGCCCTCAAGGTGATGGCGGATCAGCTCCTGCACGAAGCGGTGAGAGACATGCATTATGCTCCTTAAGTTGAGGTCAATTTCAAACCCACACTAGATAGTCAAGGCATTGAGAACGACTCAACCTACGGGGATCAACACATCAATTGTAGACCACGCCCTCAATGCGTCTGCAGACAGGTAGACCATATCTTCACAAGCCGCATCCAATCTTGAGCCAATAGCTACATGTGCAGCTTCTACTCTTCACAAGGACGCCAAACGTCGTTTCCGGACCATAACTCGGACCTTATTTCTCGCCTCATGACCGGACACAGAGATCTGGCCACATTCGAGGTAAATCTCCCGATCCTAGCTCAGGCGCCATTCTCACGGGTTTCATGTCCTTCCAAGATGGAAACGTTCCATATCTTGCACCTTGCAGCGTGCTGGGCACCCGAAGTGAAACCGAGTAGCGCAGAAGCGCCCCCTCTTCAACACGCACCAACTGAGCCTTCCATCCCATCTGCCGCGCACTCACCATCCACCCAGACAAACATTTCTGATGTCGTCGCCTCTTCCTCCGGGAGCGAGTTGCTAAGGCCTCCACCCCGCATCCGGGCGGCAGCTGCTCAGATGGTGTTTGCCTCACGCACGTCACAGGACTTCATAACACCCCAGGATGTGGCGAAGATAGAGGCGTGGACAGGGCGTGCTGTGCTGGAAGCTTTGGCCGGGATCGAGATCGAGCCTGACGTAAGTGCCATACTGTCCAGCTCCACTTGATGGCTTAGCTGCTTGCGTGTGATTGCAGAGGTTGCACGAGGAGGTTGGAAGTGTATGGGAATTAAAGGACGACGCTGAGGCGGTCCCCCGATAGACGGGGAGGGAACATGTTGCCTGATTTGTCATGATGGACACACAGGACATATTGAGGAATAGAAATCGTATAGAGAAGTGTCACTACAATACAAACCTTCTTACTTATTCAGCGACGTATGTGTGGTATATCACGCGACCAAAGTGAGTGATTGCGTTGGTTAGGGTTAGGGAGATTAACTCCAAAACCGTTGGAGAGACTCGGTATAGCATTGGCACAGTACCTCATTCTCTATCTCCATAAGGGCGAGGGTGACCAAAGTGAAGCTCACGCTTTATGTGAATAGCTGCTCTGATCTTGTGATCTCAAAGCCATGACGTCCCACCGAGCTTTGTGGTGATGTAACTTGCCCTTAAACCACCGACGTCGAGGTTGAATCAGTGGGATCTTCCCATGCTTAGATCACAGCAACGGCGGCCGACGTTTGCCCCACGTGCTGCACTGAAAATACCAATGTTGCAGAGCTTCTTCGAGATATCTCAATTGTCGCGGCGACCATATCGAGCTGCAACATGCGCCGCTTGCTGCTAGTGCAGCCTTCAACTGGAGACCCTGTAGCTTGCTTCCATCTGAAGGCCAAAAGGTGTCAAGGTTTAGACAAAACGGCAAACGGAAAATTGAATGGATAGAGGGAGTGAAGCGACTCAGCTTACTCCACTTCAGCTTACTTGGGCTCAGCTAGGAGCGAAGGAACAGCGTTCCAACATGGCACATGGCATACATGATCGGGCGCATCCGTGTGCTTCTCTGCGTGTACCAATAGCTGACGATTGCATCCGGGCTCGTTGTCAACGGTGAGGATATGTTTTGAGAGAGACTAAAATTGGCGGCACCGATGACAGACTGCAGCTGAGTGATGTACGTAAGGACATTGCACTACACGCCTCGCATTGTGTACATCTTGTGGGTGTCTGTAGGACAATCCGGCGATCAGAATACTGACAAACACCGCCATACATTTCCAAGAAAAGGTTCATTTCAAAAGCATGTGGATCCAGGAAGGAGTGCGAACCTGCGTAGATTCTCGTGCGCGGCCAGGGCACGTCTGGGAAACCAGGAACGCACCGATGAAGGGCCGGCTGACCCTTGTAGTTGTAGTTCAAGCCCCGACCTCGTCGTCTGGTCATCTGGCACGTAGAGCGGAAAATCGCCCGGTTCCAAGCGGATCCAATGGGAGCCCAGGGGTTACATGAAGACAGATTCTTAGGCATAACCGCACCCTGAACTCGTCTCGGGGTACAGTTTTGGCAAAACCACGTTACCGGAGGGGTCTAATCTGTTCGATCTGTCCATCAGCAACCCAGCCGATGGAGACTCTTGAGCACGGACCTTTTCTGCAATGTAGATTGGGCGCGAGATTGACGCTACATCGCCAGGAATGTCCGTCTGTGTACAGGCACGCCGCATGCTGGGAATGCCAGGCTATGTTTGCTACCCTGATAACCGGCTTCAGATGGCGAGAGATGGAGACCGCCTAGTCTGGAGATAGACAAGGAGCATGAGAACGCCAGACCGGAGCGGAAGCGGGTGACCGCAGCCATCGACATGGGACCCAGAAGAGCGTTCCCTGTCGAGATCTACGCACTCAGCTTACACACAATGCAGTGGGCTATAGGCAACGCATCCACGGCAGCCATGTTACCTACAATGCTCGCGGATAGAGGCAAGAAGTACTGCGGGTGGCCTTCAAGGGATTGTCGCACGGATGGCGCAATGCAATCTCTTCGTACCTCGAGGACTTTCCAGCAGCAAATGGGCGTCTAGGAGCTTCACCCCTGACGTGCATCTCCACTTCCCCATTCCTATGAGAGATTTGGACGGAGATATACCGTAGAAACGCTGCATTAAACCTTCGTATTGACGACTTGCTGGTGGATACTTCGGAGCCGAGGTCGAGACTGGTCTGTTAATTGCCAAAGAGCGTGGGAGGCGCCGACGACAAGCGAACATGCGAGTAGCCAGTCAGTCTCACTATACACCCCATTTGCCCAAGGCGGAGCATATCTTACCTGAGCTACCGGTAGAAGGGCAATAGAATTATGCGGTATCGCCGCTCTTCCCAGCGACAGCCATCTATCGTATCCGGACGGGCGCACCAGGCTTCCAGGGCTCCACGCCCCTCGATACAATCATCGACGTTCGTCGCACGTCATGCAGCCTGCGAACGCGACGGCGGACGCGCAGGCATGGCGATTGCGTCGGATTGGAACGAATATCACCGTCTAGATCTTTTCAAAATAGCCAATTAGACTTTCAGAGCTACCACGTGATGCAAGTTCCTAGTTACGCACCTTGTCCTATCAAGCCAGCAGTAGAAAGGCAGCGAATGGGGCGACTAGGGTGAGCAACATCGCGAAGCCAACTCTATTCTACGCGGAGAAAGCTTGGATAATCTTCTGGGAAACTTGACGTACGTCCTCCCACCCACTTGTGAGCCGAATTCATTCGCTTGTATACCCTACTCGCGCAAAAAAAATCGATAAGCAACCATACGATGAATCGCGAGAGCTGGACTTAATGAAGCACAGCGAAATTCGACGCACGGAGGTGGTGGTATAAAGTACAGCACCAGAAGCGCTTTGACATTCCAGCCACTGCTAGTACTGGGTCCATTGAACTCCATTCAACTACAGAGCGTCATCGTCAATCTATGCTCCCTGGACTTATCCTCGCGGTTCACTCGCTATCGCGGTGAGCCTTTAGGTGTCACGGCCACGGGCTGTTCGGCGACGCTGGGAAATTATGAGAAGGCAGCGCTCTGTATCGAGTACCTCGCGTCTCCACCTTCGATTCTTGGGCGGCATCTATCCTTGGAGGCCTGACCGCTCCTTGTACTCTATCTCCCAAACATTGTTCGGCGACATGAGCAAGAGCACGGGGGCTCGTCAGGTATGTTGCCAATACTACACTTCGAAGTTCGCACCGAGCAATCATTTTTATCACTTTCCCCTACCGATCGACGGACAAATCGGACAACGACCAAGGGCAAGGCAGGCCGCGTCCGCAGTACTGGCAGATGCCGATCGTCCCTGCGCGCGGTGGCTGTGACGACCAAAATTGGTAAGCGGTGATTCGGATCATCGCTGGCTTGCTCCAACTCCCAACTCCCTCGGTAGGAAACACGGTGGTGCAGGGTCGACCGTGCTGAAACAATCAGCCGTCGCCGCTGGCTGTCGTGGCTACTTCCGCCGTCGTCTGAGCTGGCGACTTTCAAATTCGCCGAGGCCAAGATCCTATACTGATAGAGTTCGGAATCGCAAAGCCAGCAGAAAAGTAGGATTTGCGCAGAAGTCTGCGAACGACCTTTGACCAAATCTCCTACAGTGATTAACGGGTCCTTGGGACAGTCAAATCGTGGTCCCTGTATTATGCCGATCCCTGTCCCTTCTGTTCAAATCGAAGTAGGTAGTCATATAAAGCATCACATGAATTATGCTCACCTGTAATTGGGGGATGAACCAAGGGCGTATGAACCAGATCGAAGCAACTGTTGTAAAATTTCCGTTATCATGGGTCCTTGGGACAAGCACTTAATTTCCTTGTACAGTCGACACCGTAATAACCCATACCCCTTGGGATAAGCCCCCAAGTATGGGTTATAGCAGGTTATGGACTTAGACAGATTAAGCGCTATACTAAGGGCTCGTATAATGGCCGGCGTCTGATGGGCGCTTGAACACCCAGTCCCGGGTGACGCCAGGGATTTGCTATAGGCGTTGAGCCCGTGAACTGTCTAGGAGCATTTCAAAACGTCAGGAGGTCATAAAGAATAAGCTCAGATAGTGAGTCTAGGCAAACGTAGCCGCTTGAAAGCCTCTGGCAGTGGTGGATATCGCGTAGGCTATGGGTTATCCCGGCCTGAAAGACCATGGGATATGGACTATAACAGTATTATGGGTTATGTAGTCGATTTCCCCCTATACCAACTCGGGAGATGTGGTTTCTATGGGCTATTACAGATTATGGGTTAGAACAGGTATGGGTTATTACGGTGTCGACTGTATATACATATATAAATTATTCCTGGTCAGTGCATTGGGAGGGGAGCGGCAAATTGGGTAGTGTCCCAAGGACTCCCAAGGAGCCGTTAATCACTGTAATCACTGGAGGTCTGACACTGGCCAATGGCCATGAGGCACAGGCGCGACGCCGGTGTACTCGGACACTGAGCATCTACCATATAAATACACTCAATCGGTAGACAACCTCTGTTCCTCACTTTCTGACCTACTTTTCGAAACCGCACGGCAGTAGTCATGTAAGACTGGTACCAGTCATCTGTCACCGGCGTCGTCCCTGAACTTTGCGAGATGCCGACACATCCACATGACCACCTCGGGCGTGGCACGGCCCTACAGTCGCCGCTCGCAGTACGGCTACGTTGTAGAAGCCGGTTAGACAAACCTAGTTTGCAATGACACGGATGGTCCACTTCCGCGGACACGATGCACGCGTACAGCAGACCTGTAGGTGAAGCGCAGTCTGGCTTATTATTAGGTATACTAACGCATGACGTTCTGGTCATGATGTCGATAATGGATGCAAGTCCGCCTTGTCCGTGTCTATCGGGAGGAATGCTTCGTACAAATACACAATACCAAACAGCAGGAACAGCCCGCTTGCCGCCAACGTCACTGCGGGAGGTGAGTCAGGAGTCAGTAGGGCTCCTACCGGCAGTCCCGGAGATATATCAATTGCGCACGTACCATGCTTCACAGATATTTTCGTGGATACATATCGACCCCCCATGACGGCGAGCGCAGTACAGCACGAGTGGCCGACTATCGTGCCGAACGCTACAACATACAAATTCTGCACGCGAGGCTCGGAGATGAGGTTATATATATAGAACAAGGGCAAAGCAACTACTCACATCGGCGGCGGCAAGCGCGATAGTCGATATCTGGCTGCGGTCTCCCCACTCTCCAAGAAATGTGAGCACGAACGCCTGCACAAACACAGGTCCAAGGAGATAGCTGAAGAAGTTGCGCGCGGACTCGGCATAGGTCTTCATAGCATGCTTCGTCTGTGAGCGCGGTGACGCGGGGCGCCCGCTATTGGACCGTCGCCGTACATGTCCGGTTCCGTGACCTGCTTCAATGGATTCGAGTGGCACGACGACCTGTCCGCCCTCCCCGACACCACCCGTACCGTCGTGTGTAGCCTCGTCCCCCTCGATGTCCTCCTCCGCTTCCTTCAACTCCTCCTGAATTTTCTCGTTCCCGCCCTTCATTTCGCGACCTTCCTGGAGCATCTTTACACCAAAGACAAGGAAGAGGGCGGCTGCGCACGCCTGTGTCCACTTGCGGGGGATGAGGGCGGGGAGGATGTGACCAAGCCCAGCGGAGAGGAGCGACATGACGACGAGGGAGCCGAAAGCCCCAGCGAAAACGATGAGGCGCGGATGGCGCATGGCCAAGATGGCGGCAATGAGAAATGTCTTGTCCCCAATCTCAGAGAATATGATCATCGCGAACGACCGCCAGAGCGCGTGGAATGCACCCTCGTCGGATACGGGCAGAACATCTTGGGCCATTCAAAGCCTGTCTGGTGTTCAGCTCACAACATGCATGAAACAGATCGGACTCATACCTCTAAGCACCTGGTATATGTCGTGAATCAAACCAAAAGGAGCGTAGGGTCGAAGGGGTGTAGAAAGGAGGACCGAAGGATGAGGAGACGGACGGACAGGTTCAGTCCCAAGACACGTACGGGCGCCTGAACGTACGCACAGTCTCTCACGTGAGCGGATGGAGCCTTCGCCAATCGCCGCTGTCAGCGAATTCGGCTGACTTGAATATCCTCCTCCGCTTTCACCGTGCCTACGCGGCAGTGGTTTTCAAGTAGCCTGCCCCTATTCATCACGGATGGTTATTGCGAAGCCGGTCGATGACCTACCTGCGGGAAAGAAGCAGAAAGCGGACTAAGGTCGCCTTTAACCCACTGCACGTCGCGACTTTGACGCCACCGTATGCCCTTGGAAGATTCTACTGAGTGAATACTTGCTATCTCATTGGACAGTGTACAAGTCCACTCACGTCCTTGATTCTAGTCTGCAGCAGCCCCGCCTGCAAGCAGTAGGATATGTCAAGCAATGCGACACGAGTGCACGATTTGGAGGTCAAGTTGCTCGCTGTGAGACCTGCTTTTACTCGGTCTAAATCAATATCGTCAGGGTCGAACAGAGTTATGTCTTCTCATAGCGTCCACTCGGTACCGGATCACCGATTCGTACACGTACGACTAGCCCTGTGCGGAACCGATAGTCCTCCTTCCCGCGCTGTCTCCCTTTGCGCTGCCTGGGAGTTGCCCCTTCGCGGACCTCAATGCTATTTTCAGAGACATACGCAATATGCTCTTGCGCAGTGTGTAATACTCTCCTGCATCGGCCTGACGCGAAGCTACCTCGCTACAGATGTCGTAACCCAAGCCTCTAACAGAGGAGCGAGCGCACCCTCGCTGCTACCAGCTGAGCCGTCGGGGACAATCAGGTTGAAGGGGAGGTGCTGAAGACGGCAGCCCCTGTGACCATTCATTACGTGGTGAGCAATCTGCAACGTGTCCTCTTCTTGTCGCGGGAGCCCGTGGGCCCGTGAGGATGGATTCCACGGACCGTGGTAGCTGCTGACCCATATCTCTCAGCCGAAGGTTACCCGCCATAACGGAGCTGCTTAATTCTGTCTCACCACTCTCTTGTAGTCGTGGCGTATATCCAAAATATTACTCGGCGATGGCAGTTATAATCGCACCCAAAGCAATGCACCGGCCATTCTCCAGTGTTACGTCGCACTCGCTCGTCGTGGTCTAGATCTATGGCACAGGTAACATCATATCATGTACATACGCCTGTGGCAGCATTCAAATTTACTTGTTGAGTGATACCCCAACACCGTGATTCCATCTGGTTACTGCATGCAAGGCAACGAGCTATTGATCGCGGCTGTTCTTATACATACAGCACGCATTGCACTAAGCTATTGCGATTAGCTTCGAGCAAGCGTATGGGCCTAATCCGCTTTCTCTTTCTTGAGCGCAAACTACAGGCATCGCTCGATCAAGCCCCATTGAGCAATAAGAAGGTGGGAGGAAACATACCACCGCGACGACCGTGCCATCGCTGAGCTTCTCCTTCCTTGGGACAAGCTGGTAGCCGAGCCATCCGGGTACGATGCGCCAGGCCGTCCAGTAGAGGACACCGAGGGCAAGGACCCCGATCCCGACAAGACAGTACCTAGGGTCAAGTATGTCAAGCAGTGCGAACGAGAGCACAATCATGATGACCGCACAAGTAGTAAGGGAGAGGAGGGGTGTCTCCGATGCCGTTGGTGGGGCGAAGGAAGGGCGCGATGATCACTGAGAGACGTGCATGAGAGCCATATCACGCTGACGAGTTTGGGATTTGCAAGACGTACGGAAGATGGACGCGACCAAAAAGAACGCCGCAAAGGGCAGCCAGACTGCGACGACCAGCTTCAGCAAATCTGGCTAAGCGAGAAGGCAACGAGGCAAACCCTTGAAAGGGCGCGGAAGATCAGGCTTGTGGTATCGCAGCCAGAAGAGGCCAATCACGACGGCGGAGTTGATGATTTGCTGGGGGTATCCTTCCACATCGATGATGAAGGGGTATGCGACCGCGGGCGGGGGCCCAAGTATGATGATGATCTTCGTAACGGCTCAACGGTCGTATTCAGAGCCGAACAAAGTTCATGCGCACCGAGGGAATCATGTGGACGAGGAGTCCTGGAAGAGGCGATTTTCCGGTTGGCCAGTTTGAGGCCCAAAACTTGTTACCGAAGGGGAGGGGAATACCATCCTTCGCAAGCTCCTGATTGATGCGGGCAGCTGCAAAGGACTAGAGGGTACTTGGTTTTATTAGTAGAACCAAACCAAAGTCCCCGGTACGTACAACAGTAAAGACAATCTTAGTAGAACTCGCAATCAGCCTTTGATCAAATGATTCGTCTTGGGAAACTCACTCTAGAAAATCAGGAGCGCAGTACCATATATGACTGATCAGCTCAGGTCTCTGGCGTGTGGTGTCGGAGGCCGACTTACCCCAAAGCACTGCAGCCGTGATTAGTCACGAGAGAGCGTGATATCTGGCCGCAGTCACCCACCTCAACGCAACGAACACAGTCAGGGCTTTCTGTGCTTCTGCGCCGAACACGTTGTGGAAGAAGAGAGACGCCACCGTTACGCCGGTGTTGATGATCTCTTCTTTGGTGGCAGCCCTATAATCGACATCCATTCTTCCCTTGTTCTGGAGCACATTGTCATACAACGTTACTCACGCGAAGTATGCTACGTTTGCCAAGAGGAGAAGTATGGTTGAGATACCGAGACCGAGAGGGCCGGCGATTTTGAGCGTCCGGATGGGGTCCTTTACGTTATTCAAGACGTAGTTGACATTTGACCATCCGTTGTAAGCGTTGAGTACTTTGAACATAGCCGTTGCGTACTAGACTGCACATGAGGAACGGTCGAGGAGCAGAGGTCGCTGACAGGATGATACATACATCGTTACTGCTGTGTGAACTTCCCGCAAATACGTTACGAAAGTTCGCGTGCGGGTCCGTCACCGAAGTGTTTCCGGCAACGACGGCCCAACCCGACACAACAATGAACAGGAGGATAACAATCTTGAAGACGGTTACACCCTGATTGGACAAGGGCAGTGTCAGCTCGATCATAAGCGCTGTTTACCCTACGTACATTCATTACCCACAGACCGAGCTTGGGGAAAAGTCCTTGGAGGACAGTCACGAACACAATGACTTGTTCACATATGTAAGCCGTGCGTACTTTCTCGATATACCAAACCAGACATACCTCCGATCGAGATACCACGAGTAACCCATCTGTCGGCCGTACGCCCTGCAGCCTCAAGAATACTACCAGGCAGGTTAGGCCCGACGACATATGGGCTCCAGTTCGATGGTGCGACCTACTTCTGTGCAAAGACCTGAGGGACAGATATTAGCATATCCCTGGTTTGGGTAAAGAAACGCACTGACAATACAGCTAGATGCAGTAAATCCAAGCAAAATGGCATTGGCAGCGAAGAGGACAGTGGCGAGGTACTTTGGTTTTTTGTACACTGCCTCGAGGTAGACCTTTTCTCCACCGGAGCGCGGAAACATCATGCCGAACTCAAGCCAAATGAAGAGGCCACAGAATGACATTATGAACCCGAGAACCCATAGCATCAGCGATGCTCCGACTGAACCCACTGAACCCAAGATAGTCGAAGGAGTGGAGAAGACGGCGGTTCCGATGATCCGTCCCACACTTGGTAGCGACGAATGAGCATTTCCACGTGACTGAGCAAATTGCGAGACACCTCACATTAGGAGTGTGCAGCTGAAGATGCCAAGATGGCGACCCATACCGCCAGCCGCATCTGTCCCACCAAGGATGAGTACTCGAAAGATCGGCCCCGGTCGTGCAACGCGTACCTTCCTCCAGAGACAATCCGGCCGGGTTCACTTCCGTGTCAGCCTCAGCGACGGAATCTGCCCCAAGTTCTTGCACATCGCAATCGCTTGCCGACTTCTCCACTTTCACATCCACCTGCTCGTCGAATATTGCCGCCTCCACATTTTCCGAGCTTTTACGGCCCTTGAAGGTAGGCGGAAACTTCCAAAGGGATGGCATAGAAGAGAGACCACCTATGCTGGTGAGATGATGCAAGGGAGAGAGGGAGCAGATGTGGAAGGAAGATCTATATAGGTCGAAGCCAACGAAGTCGAATAGGCCCGATGCAAGAACATGGTCACCCCGTCGGAGTCTTGTCTATAAAAAGCCGCGAGAGTTGCGCTATAGCTCCGGCATGCACTGTAGTGCCGAAAGTCAGAGGTAAAGACATGAAACATCGTAGTTCAGACTTGCGAAAGAACCTATCTTGTTCGTCAGCCCAATCGATGAGATCCCGTGTGAGCACTGTTCGGATAAGAAGACTTCAACAACACGGATAGCCTTGAGTTTATTGTAAAGCACCGAACCAAACATATGTCCAACAGTCACAAGGCTGGTCAGTCCGTTGAATACTTCATTCAGGCCTCTTTGCTAGCGCGGACAACTTCCGAGAACCCGTCAGTGTCAGTCTTCTCCTTCGCACGTTTGTCATCTGTCTCGGCCGCGTGACTGACACCTGTACCGTAGTCGTTCAGTGAATTGCCTGAGGGTAGGCGATGCCGATGTCGGAGACATTCTGTGAGCAGATGTTCATCAAGACATGCTCAAGTATCTATGTGAAGCTTGTACTCACTGATATGCACACGTGCCGTCATGTCTCTGGACGCAGAGCACGACCCGAGAAATTGACATCCGGGGACAGCGCAGCGCCACGCAGTTCGATGCCACTTCGTGAATCGTGACTTGCCATGACACTTATTCCAGACTGTATGTGACGCAAGCTCGCTATGTATGTCCTCAGCCCTAGGTCATGCTGGCAGCGTCGTGAGGAAAAGGTGCTCTCGTGGTGGAACAACGGTCGGACTGAGCGTTCCGTATGGGCCGGTATCTTGGTCCGATAGCGCCCGGATTAGCGTCTATTGTACCTCTCGTGATTGCTCTTGCACAACAAGATTGGACGACAGATTCGTGCGCGATAACTTAGACAGTATGTCGAGTCTGCACCTCGTCACTGCAACAGTGCAGCAGCTCTTGGCTTACACTACAAGCTTGGTACGAGATGAAAGAGTTGTATTCTTTGAGTAAGCACATTTTCACGTATTCATCAATGCTTCTCATTGAAACTACTCAGGGACGATGTTGTATGTCCGCCTACTTTGGAGCACGTTTCCGGATACTTGTTCTGACATCAACGTCGATAGCTTGAGGCTCTAGAACGCGACATGCAGCTATCTATGGCTCAAATGAGAAGATGTCGAAACGACTCCCCAACTCTCCCCATTAGTCGACTCCCTCCGGAACTACTCCGCATGATTTTCGGGTATCTCCGAGACCCTCCTTCTCCCCACCGTTGGAGGAACTCGACGCGCGCCCGGTTCGCGTCCTACAAACCTCTCATCGCGGCCATGCTAGTTTGCTACAAGTGGCACTCTATCGCTTCTCAGACTGCTTCCTTGTGGACGGACATCGACGTCGTACGCCAAGGCTGTTTTGCTTCTGTCTTGTTGAGCCGATCTTCGGCTGCCCCTTTTCGTTTACGCGGACGCTTCACCGAGTCAACTTCTGACCAGAACAACTCGCTCGAGGACATCATTTCAATCCAGCGTTCCCGTCTCCTCCAATTGGATCTTTGGGGGTCCTCCGAAGCTGAAGTTGCGTCTCCGACCCGCATGCACAACCTGCTAGCGATGGACATGCCTCTGCTCCACATACTCTCCCTGTCATGCGAGCCGGTGGACGACGTTGCGCTTCCCTCAACAGCTTTTGGAGCTTCCGGGAAGTTCCCCAATCTGAAAGCGATGCTCCTGGAGAACTTTCTGTGGGTCCCTTCATGTGGCCTGCCGAAGCTTACGCATCTACACCTCGCTCAAGTGGACTCTTTCACGACTCGGGACGTGCGCGATCTCCTCAGAAGTACTCCAGCCCTCGAAGTATTGGACATCACGCTGTCATCAGGACTCACTGTCGCACCAGGTTCTACGGCCCCGGCATCACCCGTCGCCCTTCCTTGTCTGCATAGTGTGTACGTCTGGAGTCTCGGGGATATTCACACGGGAAGGCACCGCCCTATCTATACCGCTTTTCCCTCCTTCACTCGCGTCGCGCATCCCAGACCGCCTCGCATTCAAGTTGAGCGGGAACTTCACCGCGTTCCGTACCGCGATTCACGGCAATGACATCTCCTTCAAGTTGGATCTTCGTGCTTCCGGAGCTTCACAGGAAGCTCGAGTGTCCTACGCGTTCGACGTCTTACCGAGAATGCTCTCGTTGTCCGGCATCGAGGAGCTTCACTTCAAAGCTCGCGATTGGGACACAACACTCCTTCTACACCTCGCATCATTCATGCCCATGGTCTCAAAGCTCTTAATCAAGCACGATGCGCACAGAAGTGAGGACGCCCGCCTTGAAGATGTGACGGAGATGGGGAAGCTCCTTGGCAATTTGCTCGAGGCAGACGATCCCGTACTCTTCCCGAAACTGACTCATTTGGACATCGTTGTTGGTGTTGCACCATCAGATTTCTGCGAACTCATCAGCTTCGGCCTTGAGAAGCGCCACAAGGACGGACGGCGCCTACAAAAGCTTCGTATCCGGTTGGAGGATGGTGATCCGTTCGCATATTCACTGGGGAAGAGGACCGTCCCGAATCTGGACCAGAGTGGAATCAGGAATCATGTCGACTCCGCGCGTCTACATGGCGCGCGCGGTATATTCGATTCACCCAAGGGTGCGGAGGACGATGAGAGGCCGAGATGGGGGATTTGGAAGGACATTGTAACGCGGCCGCGGCATAACTACTGGGAATGATAGGGTGTTTGGGCAGCGGGCGTCGTCAGTCCACTACTTGATGCCTTCGAAGCCGAGGTAGGTATTGCCGCAACGTGTGTGTTGTGTAAGACAACCGTCTTTGTCAACGTCTTTCGATGTGACAAGTACAATGTGTGGGGTTGGAGGGACAAACACGAGTGTGCACCACGCTTACGCGAAGACCCATATAGGGCAACTTAAGCGCCATGCTCCGCTACCTTGGCACGTGGCGCCGACAAAGGTCGTGGCAGCTGCAACACAGGAGTCCGGCGCGGAGGACCTCTTTATCGTGAGTATCGGTGGAGTTATGATGATGTTCCATTCAAGCACATGTTACGTCTGTGTCTAAGCTAACCATGTTGACGGACGTGGGCACGATACTTGGGCCGCCAGGCCCTCATGTTGCCCATGAACGGCCGCATCCAGCGCGTGTGGTTCTACTTCACAGCGTATCTAGCAGCTGGTCAACGGCACCAGCATCTCTATAATCCCACTACATTTCACAACAAGCATAGCGTCGCCAAGACGATCTGCAACGCACATCACGAGCTCACACAGCAGCTCGACAGTGCCTTCCGATCACTGGGATGGGGATCAGGCGCTGGCCCGGAGTCCTCATGATGCTTCTGCCCAGGCACTATACCAATTTGCCTTCTCATACTGTTTTGGCCTCTCTCGCACTTGTATGCTTGTACGTTGTTGTCTCCAGCATTGCCAACAAGCTGCGTGTGAGGTCTTGCTGTCCCCTAGTCAGCTATCCCCATGTCGCATTGTTCGCCAGCGAACTTGGAAGCATCCTCTCTTGTATAACAAGGTATGTCTTGCCGAAACCAATGCCTGAGGCAAGGAGCTCAGAGGGCAGCCGATCACTTCCGCCTGGTGATTCTTGCCAAACTCCGCGTAGAAGCACGTAGTCACGTGTATCGGCACTGTATCTGGCGGTCGCTTTCAACTCCCCACCGTTCCTCCTTGTTCCCTTGTTATCAGGCTGCACGCAGCAACCGGCTACCGCACTATGGAGGCCAATGGTGTCCCACCAAAGCCAAGCTCTCCCCCAGACAACTCTGATCGTGAAGTGCTAGTGATCACTAGCACCAGTGGCGGCGGGAACTCGATCGATCACTCCGAATCTGTAGTTCTCGATAGCAGCAGCAGAGTAAGACGCATAGACGTGAGGAAATTCCACTCAATCATGAATGAGAGCTAGTATCACTGACGGCCAAATCTAAACCAGATCATGAAGAATGCACCCATTGGAGGCTTTGCGCTCGCGTATTGTGCGCATCGACTCTATCGCCGCTACTGCCCACGTCGTCTGCCTGTTTTTACCCCATTCAAGTTGACTGAGCTCTACTTCTTATGGGGATCGGCTCTCACCCTCTCTTGCTACGCTTTTGTTTCTTTCGCGGACATTATACGAGACAGAGATCTACTAACAATCTACTTGGGCGGGGATGCTGTGGCGCATATGACCGCAAAGCAGCGGGAGGAGATTTCCAGTTCGTCGGATCAAATCCTGTTCAGAGGAACACGAGGGGTGACCTTTCGGTCAGCGTTGGAGAGCATACGCGTCGGTATGTGCTCGGTCCTCTGCAATGCCCGTTCTTTTGGCCATATCTCTATTGCAATTAGTGTCGGAATGTTAGCTCATTACCATGACTTTCTGACAATACACAGGCCTATACGATACATACACACCTTTTCAGAAATTGAACTGGTGGCACCATCACGCACGGCACGATCGGAGGACTTGGGATGCGTGGGCTGGCGCGGTTGTCGCTACAGACGTGAAGCTCAACCAACGAGCGTCGGGCGAAGTCCCCGACCCCCTTGCTATATCTGACCTCGACATCTGCGCGACACATCTTGCAGACTATAGCTCATTGGAACAGGTAGTTATTATCAGCTCTCCCTACAGCCATGAAGAGAGCACTCAATCGCATCGCGTTTTGTAGTACACGCAAATGGACAATAGGCTTTCCATCGCCTTTGGGATGTCAATTCCATTCGCAATGCTGGCTCGCCGGACGGGGCTCCGGATGCTGTATCTCCCTATGAACGGCTTGCAGAGGGTCCTACTTGCCGCAATCTTGTATCAATCATTCGTTGTCCTTCACTCCCGATTCGAGAATATCAAGAAGATCAAGGACAAAGGGAGATACGCCGCCATCGTGACGGCCATGTTCCACAATTCCAGCTTCGACAAGGCAATTGAAGAGCATCGGAGGATCGTTCCGCCTGAGCTAGACTCGTTGTTCCGCGATGACTGAAGAATGCGATAAATAGACTCCGATAGCGCCGAGAGGCGCATAAAATGTTCAATATACTACTACTACAGGGCTCTGGACGGTACTAGTCAGCGGACGAATGTCTTGTCTTATTACTACCATCCTGGTGTACAATAAACCCTAGCGGTACAACTGGTTTCATCATCAGGTGGCGCCGTCGGCAGGCTAATCATTGCTCCACTGTGGCGATACACTGTTGTCCGAGTGGCAAGATCTCAACCGGCTGTTGATTTATATCTGAGCAGGGCTCGCAACCATGGAAGGCTGAGGGATCAAGCAGCTGATCAGCGTTCTCAATTGACAGAATGAAGGAAGTGCCAGGATGCTAGTAATACAGACTTGGATGCACAGAACTCGAAGCACGCGATTACAGATAAGCCTTCGTAAAAGATCCCCTAGCTCAGCTTCGTGAGAAGCATAGACAACATATCTTCAATTTTCTGCATCCTGCCATCCAGCGTGTCCAGGCGTTGTTCCAGGCGTTTCTCATCGGACGAGCTTGGGTGAGAGGTAGAAGTGTGATTTGCCAAGGTATCAATCTTCCTTTCCAACGCATCAAGGCGCAGCGTCGAAAAGCGTTGCATTTTGTTAAACCTGTCCTCCAGCGCACCAAGCCACACGGAATGGTTGCCTTCAGCCTTGCTCTCGCCGGGCGGAAGCTGACATAGCACGAGACTGTGCATCGGCTTGTGCTTCCCCTTTATCCCGGGGTTGCTCGCCTCGCAAGTAGTACATAGGAAGGCGTCGTCTGTCGCGACCATGACATCAGTTGCAGATACACAGTTTGGTTGTAGGAGGCGTACCTTCACACTCAATACAATACCAACAGGGGCGAGTGACTCGACTAAGGCACCTTATGCAAGATACTTCACGACTGACGATGCGCTGTGCTAGTACTTCTGCGTCGCGTGCTTCCTCAAGAGGATCTCCAGCCTGTGAAAATCCGAGCGCGTTCGCGTCCAAGAGAGCTTCTTCCGCCCGAAGGAGCGCGTCATGCGCAGCGCGGTATGTACCACCGAGCTCCCTGTGCCTGTGGACGACTTTGCGAACCTTGAGCAAACGATGAGACGGCAGATGCGGGGAGGGTAGATCGACCCTTCGGTCCGGGCCAATTACTACAGCCAGACATTCCGATCTGTCACAGAAGTCTAGCGTGCCCCGAGCGGTATGACAATCCAGGCAGATTATACGAGCCCCAATGACACCATTTCGGCAGTGAGCACAGGTGACGCCGCTGTGATGGGTCAATGTTCAGAAGGCTACAAATTGAATAGGACCGTGGGACGCACTAGTGTTTTGGTGCAAGCCTGTGTCGATACTCGTAGACCATACGGTAGTACCGCGCTTCCGCCGGCGTCATGCTAAGGAAGCACCTCTTCATCGCCTGAAGCTCGGCCTCAGTCTCCGGAAGACTAGTCCCCTCCATGTCTGCGCGTATGAGCTGAATATAGCGTAGACGCGTTGCCTCGCGTTCTCTCAATCGAGACCGAGAGAACAGCCGCCGTCTGACCTCGTCGTGTATAGCATGAATAGCAAATCGCCAGAGGGCCTTGGGCTTGTTCATATCCAAGACGTCGAGAGAAGGCCAGAACCGCATGACATCGCAAGAGAGCTTCTTGAGATAGAAGGTGCCGTCCTCGTTGCGGGAGGCGCAGGACCAGGTTCCGGAGAAGACGCGCCCATCTCTGCTTAGGGTGCCCCGGAAGCGTCTAGGCCAGAAACGAGCAGCATAGGTGATGGTGAAGATGTAAGTCGTGTCTCCGTCTAGATCTTGCTCAGCGGTCCCTAAGAGTCTCCAGCGTGTACCGGTCGGATCAACGCCAGAAGCAACGAATTGATGAGCTTTAGACGTTGAGACATGGAGTTCGAGTGAGATCATTGGCTCAGAAGGATACACATCCTCCTTCCCTACGTATCCACACCAGTGTCCAAGTCTATGTGGAAGGGAAGTCAGACGTTACAATGGTCATACAGTGAATTTGTCCGGAACTCACATTGTTTGCAATGGTCCTTCTGCGTTCAGATCTTCTGCTGATGGGACGAATTCTGGGCTGACGAGAGGATCGTCCATGTTTTCCACCGGGTGATTGAGAATGACATGAGGGGGGTGTCTCGACGGCTCGTCAGCGTCGGTAAATACTGGATCACCGTAGCGGACCTCTCGAAGCCGGTCGAAGGACCACAATGAGGAAGGGTCGTGCCAGTAGTTGAACTAGCAAGGCGGATCAGCGTCGATATTGATGATCAAGCCACGCAAACATACCATCTCAAACGCGAAGACCTTGAACTGCTGAGTCGGCTCGTGGTTTTGTTGTTTGAACAAATCTGGTAAGTCCTGCACCTCAGCATCTAACTCATTCAAAGTAGGTACCGTACGCACTCTCCAGATTGTGGTAGCGATCGTTGATCGCTTGGAAAACCCACTCAAGCGTATTCGCAGAGTCCCACAACTCGTCCTTGTGGAGAACGGTCGTCCGCGCAAGGCGCATGATCTCGAGATCGCGTTGGAGTAGGAGATAGAGCAGGACAAAGACGTTCTGAAGGAATAGCAGCTATCAGCAACGCTTCACGATTGCCTGAAAAGAATAGCACCTTCTCTATTCTTCCGGGTCCGGTGACGAGTATCAGCGTGTCCGCGGCATCGATGTCATACCTAATGGTCTCTAGTCTCTCTCGCATCCGATTCTCTTCATCAACCACGTAGCTCTGAAAGTTCTCTCGCATTGCATCGTTCCACTCGGCTCGACGGAACCCCGTGGTGAGTTCGGTAATGAGGGACCAGACCGAGTCGAGATAGCGTTCGACGAATCGTCGGTTGGCGGGGAGAACGTGCGACTTGACGGCAAACATCTTGTCAAGGAGGTGGTCGATCTGAACAACGTAATGAGTCATCGCCATCTGCCAGCCTGACGTTCCAACATCAGCGCGAATTCGTCTTCCCAAACAGAGGGCAGCCTACCAACAGCCCAGTATGCCATCCAGTGAAGCAAACTGCACGGAAAGTAACTCAATGTCAATTCGGACCCAGAAGCTTGCGGCGCACCTCCAATCTGCGGGCCGAGCAGTGGTGAAGGCATTAGCCTCGCCCACCGTGATGAAGCCAGATGCATCGTCGTCGAATGCTTCTATGATGGCTTGCAGCCGAGTCACGTTGATGTACTCCAGCGTCCATTCGTCCTGCTCGGTGATAAGCGTAGGGTAGTCGCAGTCGGTGAATGTTTGCTCGTTCTTCCGGAGCTTGTCGAGCTTTTCCAAGCAGTAGTCACGAAGCGCGAGGACAAAGTGCCGCGCTTTAACGTTGCCTCGCCAGCGCTGCATACCGTTATTCAGTCATCCTCTTCATCACCTTCAATCAATTTAGACGTACCATCTCCTTCCAGATATTGCTCAGATCCTGACAAGGGAAATGTCGGTCAACATGAAGCTGGTCAAACGCGGAGCTTGCACCGCTCACCGGGTCGATGATCCTATCATGAGGGCCTGCGGTGACGGCACTAATGACACGATCACCTTGGTGGTGAATAATCCTCCTCATCTCATCCGCGAGCTGGCTCTGCTGCATCCTAAATTTGCGCTCAAAAGTCTCGTAGTTGTTGGCAATGGCGATCTCTGGATCGTCGAGCAAATCGGCACGGGCCGCTTGGAAATCCATGGTACTCTCTCGTCGCAGGGTCTTCGTCCGACTGCGGGAACCAGAGCCAGAGGCAGAACTCGACATTGTCGCCGATCTCTCCTTGCAGAGACTCCTGAGAAGCAATCCGTCTTCCAAGACCGCCTCCTCTCCACCGCGCTTGTGCACGAACGCTGCGAGGTCCCGTTGTTCAGGCGATACGGTGTCGCGGAAGTAGTCGATAATCACGTCCATTCTAGGAGATCTGTGAGCGAATAGTGCTCGAGTATGGAGTCTATCTCCACGTACTTGGCATCCAAAGTGTCTAGTTTGCGCTGCGCGATGTCAATGTTGACTCCGAGGTGGACAGCCAGAGCGAACTCAATATCTGCACGACGCTTGCTGAACCGTCGAATGAAGATCTGAAGTACGTCGTCCCATCGGAGTGCCCGGAGCACCTTGTGGAGGAGTTTCTTCTTGGCGTACGCGTCGCAAGCGTTTGCACACTCCTTGATGTCCTGTTGCATTAAGTTGACATGGCCTTGTAACCGCTCCTGGATAGTTTTTCCATCCTTCCCAAGGTGAGAAGGTCCATCCTGTACGTTTTGAAGCCTAGGGCAGTGTCGGAACCAGCTCGGCCACGCGTGACGTTAGGACCACTTACTCCGCGAGGGCATACATCATATCTCTCATTTCCAGAAACAGAAGGACAATCTTCCTGTCATTTTCTCGTCGTTTGAGGTCGAGTTCGATCGCAACCTTGAACGCGCCCACAGCCACTAACGCAAATGGTTGCATCAGCAATGTTTGATGTAAGATAGGGACGTGGGTCACATACGTGCTATGAACGGATGGACAGCCGCTACGTCCTGTAAAACCTTCAACAGCTCGGGCAGGCCATCAACGATGGTATTTGTGCCGCTCTGCAGGAAGCTCATCGTTCCGGAGCCGACCGCAGCGGTGAGGGGCGACATCATGGTGCCGATGTACCCCATCTCTGTGTCGATCTTGAGCACGGAATCTTGTGTCCAAGGGAGCATGTCAGAGCAATATGGTCAAAGTGGGAGAGTGACATACCCTTATCCTTTCCATCCTTCCGCCTTTTCTTGTACTGGTTGAGGCTCGCTGCTGCGGCGCCGAGAGCGAGGGAGGCCGACCGGAAGTGAACAGGACGCTCATCACCCGCCAGTGGTTCGTCGCCTAGCGTTGCTGAGGAAGAACTTGAGCTCGAACCCGGTGAGCGCGAGTGGAACGTCAGTTTCTTCGCTTCTAGGGTACTAGCGCGCGATATCTCAGGGGACTTCGTCAGCGATGCCCCCAAAATCGTCTCTGGGCTGGTAGAGATCGACATGGTGAGGGAGAAAAAGGGAACGAGGAGGTCTGGAGTGCTGTTGGAGCGATTCTCCATTAGATATACGGTACGCGCTCACGACAGACTCGGATGTACGCGACCACAACGACAGCATGAACTGAAAGGTGTCCAAAGGAAGTGCCTGAGCTACCCACGAAGACGCAACGGAGCGCGGAGCCAATTGAGACCGCACAGTCATACATCGGAGGGTATGGCCCCGCTACGAGATCGCATGACCGTGAGGACTGTAGAGGGCCGAGAAGATGCGCGCGCGCCATCCGCAGTCCGATGACTGACAGAACCGCCTTCCATTCGATGGCGACGCTTCTTCACGAAGGCTCGGCGAAAATGTTCAAGTTAAACTCTATCCGCGAATAGAGTTGTTCTGAAGCTGATACCCATCCCCTCCTAAAAGGACGGTTCGGTGGATCGCTGGCCTCTGCCCGGCTGTATCTCGATGTAGCGCAGACTTCAGAACAACTCTAACCGTAAATGATAGCCATGGTGCGACGTAGCTGTAATCACCTTCGAGCCCACATACTGCCGTAAAGTTCCGGCATAAATGCTTCGCGCCGGTATCAGGAAAGTTCCGACGTCCAGGTCATGATTGATATTACACCCGCCCGAACGTGTGAAACGTAAGCGATACACAGAAGATGGCTCTATTCGCAATTGAGAATAACAGGTCGTCAATCAGCAGCGAGGACCCGGACATAATCATGTAGGCTGTGAAATAGAGTTGTAACGAACCGCACTATGCATCCTTCGCGGGGCGATCGACAGGAGTAGTTGGCCCGGCACTCTTCGGTTCAGGTACCCCGATGCCATGTATGTGATATTGCTCCCCTACAAGCTCCTTCGTGGCGACCATCAACTTGTCCAGTCTCAGGACGATTCCAAATGCAGTGGTGACGCCGACAGAAAATGCCCTGTCGCCGCAACAGGTAGTCAGAAGCAGCCGGTAGAACATCGGGAGAACACTCGCAAGTATTGTTCGTTCGCGAGCGTGTCGATGGTCATCGTCCTCGGTAGCCCATAGTCATCGTCTGCTTCTTGGCGAATGATGTTGAGACCATGTGTGTGGACCATGAACCTGTCAAGCAGCGGGCAAGGTGTAATCTGGGGTAGTGGATTCCCTGTGCGAAGCGCGGTCGAGATCATGCCTGCGAACATTCACCCGCAGTCAGCCAGGGTTTGCGAAGCCACCTGACAGAAAACACACTAATCACCGCGAGGACGTCACCCTGAAAGTCGGCGTCGAGGAATCGTGTTCGTAGCAAGAAGGCTCTGGACCACGCGGGTTCCAGGTGCTCCAATACAGACATTAAATGTGACAGGAGGTTCGATATTTGCCTGCAAAGCTTAGTATGGAGACGAGCGCTGGCGAAGAGGCAAATCAGCACCTACAGTTGGTGGTCCAGGATCGCTTGATAACGCTCAGATGGCCATCGCCCCCTGAGCGAGAACTGCACGATATTGTCGATTGGGTGAATAGCTTAGGAGATAGAAGAGGCAACGCACCTCGTATACAATATTCGTCTTCAAAATGATAGAGCGTTTAAGCTTCAGCCGAATGGCTACCAAGCTCTGTGTAATTTCTGCTCTCGATACCTCTGGATGTTCTCGAGTATTCGCGAACGATACAATAGAGCAGTATACTGCTCCCAGCTCTGCAACCGTTGTAGACATCATAGTCCGCTGATATTTCCTCAGGGTCGTTGAGGGCGGCAGGAAAGAGAAGAGGCTATGAAGACGTTGGGTCAGACACGGCACGAAGCGATTCAGCTATAGAAGAGGCTCACAAGGCCGCGACAACACCACACACAACCAAGACAAAACGCCTCTGCCGAACCCATCAGAATGGTGCACTGAGTTGCTCCCGACATTGCTCACCCATGCTACGCCCCAACCCTGGTAGTGGAACGGCAGAATCGTATGGTTGTTCTGCCACGAGAAACCAACCACCTGAAGGACAACGTGCTCAGCAAACCAAACGAACAAACCGTGTAGCAGTATGCTCACTAGACCTGCGGTGACGAAGAAGATGATGTTCGTCATGGGGGGTACCGGCCAATAGAGACGCCAAAAGAAGAGGAATGGCGACGAGACTCCAATCACAGCGGCCAGCCCATATGCGTTGCCGTTCCCAGATCCCGCAGAGATGTACCACAGGGCCAGGCCGAGGGCGCCGCCAAGCGTGGTGCTGAATATTCGAGCGAAGAGCCCAAACGTCGTGTCACCACGGAACCGAGCAAGGGTAAGCTGACCCATGAATCTGCCAAGAAATGAGCATCGGTTCCATTTCCGCTTATGCTGAAAATATGACGCACAGGCCCCAGACGAATCTTTGCGCTGTGGACGTTGTGAGTAACTTCATGATTCGTGAGATGGTCAATAGGCATACCGTACGCAAAATGCGCTGTTCTTCGCAAGAAGCTAGGTACGCACAAGATGACTGTGCGAGCAAATTGAACGCGAGATTTCGATCACCTCCTGGAAAGGCACATACTAGACAATAATCCCGCTTTCAGCGCAAACAGTGCATTTCCACGCGTTAGGCCTGCAAGCAAGTCGTGTATCCCGTGCATGATCCACTGGAAAACGTTCGTGGGAGGTAGCGCATCCGGGTCTCGTCGACCGGTCATACCAAGATCTTCGGCCCACGCGGCGTCTATACCCTGGATGACATCTATGACACACAGCAAGTCAGTGTCCCGGAGATTCAGCGGGGCGCAGACATCGCTTACCGGGATCCTCATCGTCACCTTCATTCATCCCGTCGGTGCCTGTCGAAGAAGCACCCCACTGCAAGATGCGGCGGAAAGGCTCGTTCGGCCACCAAAGCCTCGACCTCTTACAGCCCTGCTCGAGACTGATTATATTGTCGAGCTGTGAAGCACGTCAGAATAGGGATGAGCATGTGGCGCAATCGAAGGCACAAGGACGAACGTACAATTTCTGTCAGAATGCCTGAGAACCGGAGAAGATGATATTGATACATGAAACAATGGAATAGATAGCGATGTGGCGGGGGATCGGGGCCGTCGACGTTCAAATGTTTCGGGTCGAACGCGCGACGATAAGGGTCCAGAACGCGGAGCCTATAGGTTGCTCTACGTGAATAACGAGTAAACCCACAAGGAAGGTAAATTCGCGTACCTCTTCTCTTTCTTGAATCTCGTCCACACCTCCTTGACCCTACTGCTCAGCGCCTCGAGCTTCGCCAGGCGCTCCGCCCTAATCCTCTCGACTGTCTTTCGCCGTCCGAAACTCGTCGACCGCGCCTCTGCGAACCAAGTCTGAACGCCCTTGAGCACCTCTTGCGACATCTCCAGTAGCTCATCGCACGACTCGTGCAGCAGCGCGACGAACTGGTCTGTGTATTCACGCCTGTCCTGGAACCGCGTTGCCTCCATCGCCATATACCTCTGGGACTCGAACACGCCCACCGCCGTCTCAGGCGATAGGATGGACCCGCGCTGGGGTGCAAGGGCGTGCGCGAGGCTGAGCAGCGAGAAGTGCAGGTGGTGGTCGTGGTGTTCTTCCTTGTGGTGCGTCAGGCGTGAATGGAGGTAGCGCGAGAGGTTCCCGTTCATCCGCGGAGGCTCAAGCCCACGCCGGTGTGCGTTCCGCCTTCGCGCGACATGTTCAAGGTCGTCTCTAGGGCCGTTCGGGGGCGACCCGGGGACTATGGGTGTCCCGGGACGCGTGCTCAGTGGGGTGCTGCTACGCGGGGTCATCGGTCGCGAGGGTATGGGCGTCTGTGGGAATCGCTCCCGAGTAGGATCAATGAGGGTGAAAAAGACGACCATGCCGTCCGCGCGAGTGACGAGACGGCGGATAGAGATCTGAAAGTCCGTCAAGCGCGCGGGGGAGAAGCGGCCGTAGACAATGTCTTGCTTGAGCAGGCGGTGGGTCATGCCGGCCGGACCAAGGCCTCCTTCGGACTTCCTGAGTGCACCTTGGATATTCTTCACCGTGTTTTTGAACTGATCGCTCGAAGGGTCCTGGGCAAGCACGGCACGGTGTTGCACCAGAAAATCGTTCAGAGGACCGAGTACGCCTATGACTGTCTGGCAATAACGCGCCGAGATTGTAGTCGGGAAGAGGGTGGCCGCGAAGAAGATGCACAGCGCGCAGTGGAAAGCCAGAGGTATTACAATCGCTTGACCTATGAGATAGAACGGATATGGATAGAGGACCTGGGTAGTCAAACAGATGTCGAGGCAAATGCAAGAGAAAACCGTTGCGAAGATGTATGGTCCAGGGCCCATTCTGGCCTTCAAATAGAGGAAGAATGCGCTTCCAAGGAAGACAAAGACTGCGAGAATGATGGTCGGACCTGCTTCGACATACCGAGCAGCGAGGACGTCAGCTGGATTAGCGAAGTAGTCGATGTTTGTCCTCGCAAGGTTTGCTAGAAAGATTCCTAGACAGCTCCAGCTGCGTGAACAGTCAGCTGACGCAGTAAACATCAACTCACTGCGAGGGTACTTACGCCCAAGCAGCACAGACAAGCGTGAGGAATATGACCTCGCGCTCTAGGACAGCTAGGAATGGGTCATGGGGGGTATCAAGGAAGGCCGCTAGTTCACTGTGAGTAGGAGGCATACAAAATTTCAACCATGGTACCCACCTATCAATATAAGAAAGCTAGCCTAGAGAAGCCGAACGTTGATGATCAGTTAAACGCGATGCAACAAGATTACGACAATATGTAGCGGAAATTGGACAGCTCGAGGGCAATGCAGTCAAACTCAACCTGAAGATGCAAGCAGCATAGATCGCCTCCTAACAAGCGACGTCTATACGCTAACGGGCGTACCTCTTTCCGACCCTTTAGAAAAGAACGGTGATTTCTGCGCTCTGTCAACCGCGCGATCCCTATACTGTAGGCGAACATTGTCTATAATTCTTGGTTTCTATGCGGTCACGATCGCATTCGGGGGTCCGGAACAGTGTCGCTCAGCTACTATCCGCCGGGGCCGCTCGCATCTGAAGCAGCGACTCGTTCAAACGGTATAGCCTGTCCACCAGCTATGAAATCTCTATGCGCACTCACGAGCCACGAACCGAGCAGACTCAAAATTGGAGAGACATAGAGTACCTCCTCTCCTTCCGCCCATGCATCTATGATCGGGTCTCTGCGGAAAACCTACAACCGCGGCATACGCGAGTAATTCAATTTGTATCCAGACAATTTGCCGGGGACCGCGAGCTCCTCGCATTCTGCTCGCGGTCGCGGTCAGACAGTACGAGAAACGTGGGTTCCCGTTTCTGCGCCCAATCTGCGAGCGGGAAAGAGCGCGCAAGCTCAACGCTCCGGCGCGCACGCGCGAGGGTGATGCGCATATAGTCTCATGAATATGCTACTCACCGTGCCCATCAACGCTGCCGTGCGTCTGATTATCATCAACAACGCAGACACCCAACACACTACGGCGCATCGAATGACAGGCTTGAACTTTGACCAGGTAAGATTCGGAGGTATCCAACTGAGGTCTACCGGGAGAATCTGGATGATCCTCGTGATGATAGGTATCCGGGGCGAAGGCGAGGTGCGCCGTCGAGATTTGAGAGGCTTTTCGCTGCTGCCGCTGTGAGGTCGGATGTCCTCTGGGATGCGTACGTGCCGAGGGGAGGGAAGCGGGACCTCCTCCTCTTCGTCACCCATACGAGGGTCGTAGTGCTGCCGGTCGCTCATCCGGGTGTCCTTGGCTGTGTCCTTGGCAGTGTCCGTGGCGCGGGTCGTAGCGGTCGTCGACAACTAGTGGCAAGGCGAGTCCAGGATTTAACAGCTATCGTCATGGGTTGTTCTGGATGTTAGGGGCGGGCATAAACGCCGCTCCTCACCGTGGCTGGCGATTTGCCCGGTTTCGGCCCGCATCATAAAGTTTAGCGCCTGTCGCGAACTGCCGAAGCACGACGAGCTCGAGGTTCCTCATCGCGAGCTCATCGACCGTCACGACCACCACCCCTCTGGAGCCCCCAGATGGACGACGCTACGCCGCCTCCGCCTCCGCCTGCGGCTGTTGAAGCAACCCCACCACCACCACCACCACCACCTTCGACCTCGGGCTCGCCGACCGACTTCTTGAAGGGCGTCGTGGGTAAACGCGTGGTCGTCCGACTGACCTCCGGTGTCGACTACAGAGGTGAGTCATGCATTGCATACATTATGCCATCAGCGACGGTTTTAGTCGGAGTATGCCCGATTAGCTGACCACATTCCCACCTCAGGGATCCTGTCATGTCTGGATGGCTACATGAACATCGCGCTTGAACAGACAGAAGAGCATGTTAACGGGAGGGTAACAAATCGTTATGGAGATGCATTCATTCGTGGAAACAATGGTAATGTTATTCTTGATATCTGTATGATCGCAAGCTAACGGAGTTGAATTGGAAGTATTATATATCTCTGCCGCAGAACCCTTGTAGTATCTTCGCCCAGTCTTGCGAGTCGCATGTGTTGTCGCATTCGCTTTCCATCTAGCAAAATGAATAACGAGGGGACAATCTCTCCCAATATGTCATGCATCGACCCTGGTGCTCGAACCAAACGTCGTATCTTGCCCCGGAAGCACCCATCGGCAGCGCTTACTATAGAGCGTGATCCGAAACCATTGGTAAATTGCTACTCCAACCTCGTCCGAAGTATCGATCTCGGATATGTGTCGGCATACTGAGAATATACTGTGCGGCGCAGCACCTCTGACATGGCGGATGGAGAGAGTTAGGACGCTAACGAGCACACGGAAAGTCGAAGATGGTACAACTTGTCCTGTTGTCGGGATGACATATCTTTCGGGGTCAAACACGTAAAGAAGGCCCTCCAGTATCCCAAAGTCTCCTCTAGATGGTCTCTCGAGCTTCACAGCAGGGTCGATTAGCACACCCGAGCTAATGAGACGGAGGAAGCGCGCTCGCTGCCTTTTCCTGGGTCTGGGGTCGAACTCAAACGCAGCCTGGAGAGTCGGCTTTGTCTGCCAACCACACAACCATGTCCTGGTACGGACGTTCTCTCCATACGATCGCGTGCAGTGTCGACCCTTGATCAAAGACACAGCTCCCGTTTCCCCTTCCCGGCGTGTCCGTCCTTCGAACGCAATATTTGAACCGTCCTATGTGTTCACGATCTCGATGGTGCGTCTGTCGGACTGAGCTCGTATCGGTTCGTAGGATTTGCAACTCACAGTCCATATCTTTGGAATAGCGCGCACGTATCAATGGCCATTGTGTCTCCCTCCATAGGCAGGGTACCCCTGTGTCCTCCGAAAATGTCGGCTCATCGCGTGCAGTTGGTACCGCCGGGCCCACCTTGCCGCTCGATCGGATCGAACACCTCGTGCCACCGAAGAGCCCGACAAAGGCACCGCTCGGTCTAACTCGGTGCTGCAGTCCAGACCGTACTGTCCTCTTCGTTCACCTCAAACATCCAAGTCGTCAAGTTGATTCAGCCGGCCGAATTTGAAGTCTAGCACAGTCCAGGCTTGATTGACCCCTCTAGTAGGACTATGTGCGACGCCAGCTCGGAGATTGTCGTTTTCGCACGATGAGAAAAAGCTCGTCGCTGCCCAAGATGCGATTGTGCTCCCAGCAAATATCTGCAAATCGTTCAGATTTCGGGTGCCAGTTCCATTCAGCGCAAATGTACTCGGTTGAAAAGCCATGGAGGTCATTCCAATCATACAGCGGCCTTACTGATACAGGGAACGTATTTCTACAAAAAATGTACGAGAGCAGAACGTAACACAGAAGCGAAAGGACGATGTGAAGGACAAGAAGTCGCGAACGAGTCGTCCACGATGACCGGGGCTAACTACGGCGCCAAATCAATCACATCTCCGAGCTCAATCATGAGCCCCTGCTTCGATCCACGCGGAGTCTCACCGTCCATCCACTGATTCTGCACAGCGGCAGCCGCCCAATCGTGGCCCTGCTCGAATCCCCCGAACCCGCTGTGAAGCGTTGACGTAGCCTCAGAATCCATCAAACCGGCGGTAGCGTCCACGAGCGAGATTGGCGTGATGGGCGCGGACATATCGGGAGAGTTCGACCCGGTGTTCGCGGTGGCGTGCGTGAACGAGGAAGAAACCTCGTCGATCGGCGGGTCATGCAAGTAATTGCTCATGATTTCTTGCGAGATGGAACTAAGGAGCCGACATTCCGTCGCATAAGCAGGGACTTCAACCTGGAGCGATTGAGATCATACGTACCGGCTCTCAAAAGGGATGGGTGCTCCTAGGCTCTCGTCCAGGTTATGCAGGGCGATGCGGCTGTACGACTCGACGAGGTACGCGGGCAGCGAAGTCCTCTTGTTGATGCGATCGTCCGCTAGGGATGGGGCCTGCTCGGTATACCCCACATACTGCTCGAGCAGGCGAGGGTATGTCTCGCGAGCGTCGGTGAGATCGAGCGGGGGCGGTCGAGGTTTGGGAAGGCTCGCCCGAGTCATACCCGACATGTGAGAAGACGCGCCGAAGGGGCTTTGGCCAGCACCGACGGTTACAGAACGAGGACGACGGGCCTCCATTACCGCGGGAAACTTGCGGTGTGCAGGCGCCGGGCTACTATGTGTTGACGACGGCTCTGGTAGATCGACTGAAAGCGTCCCAGGGGAAGGTTGTGAGGGCTGGCGCTCGGATGCAGTACTTTCAGAATCCGAGCTCAGAGACGAAGAGGTAGGCTTGGGCGTCGAAGACGGCAGCGAGTACTCGGCGTTATTTGGGAGAACGGCACCCTTGCGCCTGTTCTTATTGGGACCACGCATCTTCCGCTCGGAAGCGTACTCGCAGTCAAGGTCCCTACCGAAGCAGCGTTTGCACGGTTGCTCGCCGCTGCACTAAGGAGCGAGCAGTCCTGTTAGAGATTGCAAAGTGAACTGAGGAAGCAGGACAACGAACCTTGGCCTTTCGTTTACGGCACTTCTCGCACGCCTGAGCCGTGCGCAATCGTGGATGGTCGGTGCTTCGCTGGAATACGCCTGTGGTGGGGTCTAGGGATCCAGACAGCGACCACGTAGGGTTCGCCGAGGCTTTCCCGGACGCGGCAGCATTCGCGGCGTTTTGTTGCTGGACCTGGGCGGTGTGCGACGAGTCGATGACACATTGGAGGGTCTGCAGAAAAGCTGCGCTGGTACCGGAATTGTAGTATCCGCCGTATGCTCCTGCGCCTGTCCAGTCTGAAGTAGTGGCGTCAGATCCACGTGTCAGCATGGGTTGAGCTGTCGATAGATAGGACGGCGTATTGTCCGTGAAGGGTGCAGCGAGGCCAGCTAGATGGTACTGCATGGCGAAGTGTTCTTGCTCAGCGAGGAAAGCATACGACAGATCGGCAGGGAGATGGGATGATTGGCTGGCAAAGTGAAGGCCAGCCATGTACGCATCGTGGTGCCTATTGGGATATGATGACGAAGATCCAGAGGCTCCCAGTCCCAAGTTGTATTGCTGCGGGGTTTTCGGGCTGGAGTACGCGTATTCGACATCGATGGGGACTTGGGCTGTAGACATGATGGAAGATTTTGTTGCGGTTTGTGGGGATTGCCACGAAGTAGGCTGTGAAGCTGGGGGGTTTATACGCCAGCGTCGAAGGATAACGTGAGAGGGCGCATCGGTTAGAAAGATGCCTTAAACGTCCTTCCCGCCGGGAGGCTTGAGGACGAGCAAGCCGAGCGTTAGCCTCCTGTTTGTTCGATCAGTCCGGATTCGGACGCTCTTGCTGTCACAGGCACGATTCTGAGAACCGAGATCTACGGTCATGAGCCCTACTCACCGGAGAGAGATCGTGGCGCAAACTCCACAGCACATCTTGACCCGGATTGACTTGTGTATTGATCGCCATGTGTGCTCGTCGGACTGTTCGACAGTTTGCAGATAGCTCACGCAGTACGGCACTTCTGACCAGGCCCATCCCGGAACCAGTCCCTTGGGTGCCACAGGATATCTTGGCCAGGTCAAGACATGCCTCAGTCTTCTCCTGTTCGTACCACCTTCCCAAACTGATCCAAACGCGACGTACATGGCGAAGACGCAGATGATCAAAATGCAGAGATGAGTATTGGGCGCTTACATCTGGCTAGGTGACGGGTTATGGTTGGAGCGGCGTTAATGTTAATGCTTTCAGGCCATGTCGGGCATCCAGTGGAATGGTATCGGTATCCCCGCCAAGACATCGCAGTTCGTTGTATCAGTGTTATTGATCTTAAATAAGCCTAGGGTCCGAACGTGCATGCCACGCCTCGACCACTCACCGTGGACAATCGTTGCTGCATACATACTTCCGACCTCGAAAGGAAAACACATCCAGGAAATCAGACACGATTCATGTGTATCCTGTACTGCAAGGTAGCTTCTTCGGGGAGGGAGACACCTGTGAATTTCTCGGTATGGGTCATTTTGACATCCATCCCAATGGACGCCCAAAAGTTCACCAGGCGGATGGCACGCTGGTCTGGTTCTTCATTTCGTTCGACGTCGGGGACAGCCAGTATTCAATACCAGCTTAGAGTTCAGGCAACTTCCATGCAAAGGGTCATCTTCCCGTCGAAGGCATGCCATCGAGACCATAGACCAGACCAAATTCCCGAGTAAGCCGCAGTGCGCTTTTCACGCATTTTGGTCGCCTACGATCGAGGAAAGGGGAGGGCATCGCTCTTTCCCCACCGCGTCAGTTATTGACCCAAGATCTAGTGTGGCAGATCTCAGTAACGCGCGATGACTTCGCATAACCTTCCATAGAACGCCGACCTGGGAATACCACCGGCCCCAAGCGTAAACCTTCCAAGCGCTACAGCGAGCAGAGATTGATTGGTGCCCCTGTGCTCCCGGCGGCACACCTGTGGGACGGGGCCGCATCGTTCCACGCATGGCCGCCGGCTCACAATTGATGTGTCGACACTGAGACTCGAAATTTAACACCAAAGGGCAGTATCGCGACCTGAAGAAACGACATACCATCGGTCACATTATCGACGCACATCAGGGGCATGGGCTCGCCGCATTGTCCCGATTACAGGTCCCGACTACAGGGGTCGAAATTGGAGTCAGCCAACGAGCAACTGGCTGAGACCTACGAGTTCGTCACATCTGTATCGTCTCCCCTCATACCACCTATTCCCTAAGCGAGGCGTTTCAACGACAGTTGTGGGTGACCAGGTCGCACCTGACTTTTTAGCATGGCAGGTAAACGCTGACATTCTTGGCATTCCTCTTCGACGGTAAAACAGATGCGACGAAGGCGCTCAATGTTAGGGCACGGAAAGCCTGAGGGACAACAGTTGTGTCTACGCCTAGGCGAGGTCAGGCAACGTCGCTCGACAATGATGAGAGCTCACCAAGTTTTGCCACGATCACGTCCGCTTAGGAGTTACTCTGCCCCGTAAGAGCATCCCACAACGCCTGCGGCTACGGCAAAACCTACTTGCAATAATATTACAACCCAGTGAACTAAGAGCTACAAAGGAACGTGAGATAGTACAAGTACATCTATAGATAGAGCATCGTGACGATCGTATACCGTGTAACATCAGGACCCGCCATGCACGTGTATCGCGTTTAAACCTATAAATACGCAAAGTAAACACCAAAGAGGATGCATCCGCTTATGAGGAGTGGTGGAGTAGGCGCGCCATGACGCGGCTGAGATGCCGCGGGCGCACGACGAACAGGTCCGAGCTATTGCTCGCGCTCGGCTTCTTCAGCCTGCACTGTGCGTTCGAGCCCGAAGATGGGCTGGATCCGGATGAGCCAGAATTCCCAGAGCTGCCAGTCGCGGACGCAGATGGTGCCGAGCTTTGGGTGGCGCTCGGGCCGGACGTCTTGCCGGTCCCAGTCCCTGCCGAAACAGCTGTGCCGGATGGGAACGGCACGCTCGAGACCTCGGGCGTGACCTCTTCCTGGGTGGAGGCAAGATTGGAAATGGGGGGTCCGGGGAAGACATACGTCGCTCCAGAGTCAAAGACCTACACCAAATGAAGGTGATAAGGTTAAATGAGCCCCGAGTTCAGGGAAAAACCTTACCGAAGGGTCGAAGATGCCTGGGTCATCATCCTTGTAGGCACCGGGGAAGTTGACGGTCTGGTTCGGCTGCCCGTTACCATTGCCACCAACCTGGACTTGAGTGCAAGAGGGGTAGAACTCAGCGCCACCTTCCGTTACTGCCAAATGGAGGGCAATGATCTGACATAAGTCAATAAGCCGTCGCTCAACGAGCAATGTCGAATGGGGTCAAACTCACCTCGTGACGGATGAGGTATCCTCCGGGGCTGAGGTTCTCGGGAAGGGTCAACGTGTAGGAATCGCCATTCACTATGAGGTGAACCGTTAGTACAGCACGCGATATGGCGAACAGAGGTGTCTGGTATTTCCAGCCGGGTGCAAGAGTATCACCTCCAAATATGCAAAGCGCGTCGAAGGGAGGCTACTCACTGATATCCTGCTGGATCCAGGTATCGGCATCCTTCTTCCCCGCCTCATCAATCTTGAACCATTCCGCATCCAACGAATCGAATTTGTCGCAGGACGTGCTCCCGCAAGAAGCCATGTAGGTCATGAGCGGGCCAGTATTGTGCGGCCACTTCTGACCAGCGCCGCCGGACCACTGGAAGGTGACATTGCTACCAGGATTGGCAGGAACGACCATCTCGGCAAGAGCCGCGTTGAGACCACAGAAGAGGTCCTTGTTGGTCGCGCCCTTCACTGGGCTGATGTCGGAGACAAGGCGGATCGGACTGGGCCCTGCTCAGGGTGCTTCCGTGTTAGGTGGAACTGCGATTCGCGAAGCTTGCTACCACGCACCCTGATGATCGTTGGGCACGTTCCCCTCGTATGCCTGTCCGTCAATGATAACCTGGCTGACGAAACCGTGGGCGGCGACGTATGGCACAGCTGCAGACACCGCAGCGAAAACAGCGAAGCGCTTCATCCTCGGCGAGAAGTCGTAAAAGTGGAATGTGTGCGGGAAGGATCGTGAAGGAGTCGTGAACTCTCGTCAAGAGCAGCTCGTTAGACTGTCCGGAAGCGACTGGGAATAATGGGGTTCCCTTCCGGCGCAGGCGAGTCTTTATACCCTCGAGGCGAATGTGCTGGTCGAGCGAGGACAGTGCCAAAACACGACGGCGCCCTATTGTTCCCGCGGTCCAGAACAATAAAGCAATTGCCCCGCGTACACGAGGCCATTATAAGCTCCGACACCATAGCCCAGAGTGTTGATTGAAGGGCCGGGGCAGTACATATTCTGAACTCAGACAAAGATGAAAGCCCTCGGCAATGTCGGAGTTTGTGCATTTGCGTTGGGATGTTCCTGGGCGTTAAGTAGATCAAGAGAGACGAAAGCGCCTTTTGTTCCGACCCGTCTGTGTATCTCGGACATTCAAGTGCTCGCCGACTCTTCTCTTCTGCTGGAGCAGTATGATTCCGCGAGCTGGCTACATCGTGCTCGTCCTGGAACTCCAAGACCTTTGCTCTACTTGCAGTTCGACTCTAGTCGTACTCAGGCTGCAGAAGTACTCGCGAAGTGCCTCCCGAAAAGGTGAGGCCCTCGAGGCAGTACAGGCCACCGTGGGCCTCAGTCAAGTCCCTTCTTCAACGCCCTTTGGGATTTGTTTGCAATCGTCTGCGCGCACTGGCCAGGCTAGCATGATGCCTGAGTAAGGTAAGTTTGACGTTGACTGTCCCCCGATACATGTCGCCTCCGGAACCAACAGAAAATGCTCAGACTTCAAGCGTTGGGCTCCTCCCGCTCAAGCTCCGCTTGCGTTACGGAGGCGGACCACTCCTCCTCACCCGTGGCACTTATACCGACAAATTCGGGATATGATCTTTAGGCGGGATGCGGGTGGGATTACCGATGCTGGAACGCCCTACTATGCAGCACGGCGAATATCTATCGGCGCTTCGGTATAGTATAGGAAAGCACAGTAGCGACATCAGCAAAAGTGTATAAATGTTGCCGAACATTACCTGCCTGCACCCCCTCAGGCAATTGTGGAAATACCGTGCAACATATAAGCAATATTGGGCGCACCTTGTCTGGTTTCCATCCTAGCGCAATATAGCTGACCAGATTGGAAGACCAGGCAATGTCCGAAAATACCAGGCAATACTGGCAACGTCGTGCCAGTATTGCCTGGTATTGGTAGCATTGCACACACTTGCAATAATAGCGATTGAACGCCGCAACTTTCTACATTGCGCGAGATTGTTGGAGTTGCGAGATGGGGTAATATTGAGAAGCCCGGGCAGCACAGGGCAACAAGCTGTATATGTTGTCAGATATCCGGCACCTTGCCTCCGATTTTCGGTGTGGGGCGGTGGTAGGACACTCGGAGGATACACGGGCGGAAAATATATCGCGGAAGCAGAAACATATACACAAGCAAAGTGTACAAGACGACTACAGAAGGGAATGGCTGCTGCGCGAAGCGGCTGTGTATATGGAGCGGGTGGCGAGGGGAGCACCGCGGTGGAGAGGGCGGTGGAGACAGAGGTGGAGGGCGCCCCTTCAACCAGCTTGCAAGGTGCGACAGAACATGAACAGCATCCAGCAGCTAACAATGCCCGCAGACTCCGTCTTGCTCGCCCCGTAGACCTCCCGCTACACGCATCGCATGGTCAACGGCCACTGGCACCGACAGGTCCTCCGGTCCTTGCATCCGGTTGTCGCCCGAAGGAGCTGCGACGTTTGCGGGACGCTATCGGGAATTTCAGCGGAAGATGCTGTGAACGAGACACTCACCGACTGCTTGCTTGAGACAACGCGAGGTGAACGGCTCACATGGATTACGGGTGTCATGGTAAGTATGTGGAGAGAATTGACGGAGGGAGGTGGTCG